AGGCGCCAGAGGGACAGGAACAGGGCAGTACCGGGACATGACAGGAAAGGACGGTACGCGTATACATAGTGCCCGGTCGGATGGGACAGGATGCTGCGTGCACCGCGGCTGCGATCGACGCGGCGCGGCTCCGCGGCGGTGCACAATCGATATTCATCCGTCGGCGGCGCGCTCGAGTTTCGTGCGCTCAGTGAGCTGCGCCGGCCCGGTCAGCACGGGCCGAGCCGCGGCGCCGGACTGACCCCGGCCGTATGTGCGGGTCACTACTGGTGTCGGCGCCCACAGTCAGCAGCCGCGGCCAGAGATCGCCGCCAACATTCGGTAGCAGGTGGGGGCGAGTCCGGAGGCTTCAGCACAGCAGGCCACACACAAGTGATGTTGAATGTCGAAGTGATTGTCTCGCTTGCTCTATCATTTCGATAGCCCGCTTCTGATTTTATCTCGCTTCAATGTTACCAACCATGATCATGAAGCACTTTGCTAGTAGTAGTTTTATTCCAATTGGGAAGAAGTGACACATCTCATGGTATTAGTTTTACGTGTCTCGTTTAGAGGAATCACAGTAGGTAGAACTTTAGGTATAAATCTCTCACAAAAATCAGCAGTTTCAACATGACTTTGAAATCAAACATAAATCTGCACCTGTTTTATATTATTTCCCACCTGGTTCACTGGTCAATGAACAAAGATTGGTTTTGTAACCCTCCATCAACATGCTTGATTTCGTTTCGGTCATGTAAGGCCAAGTAAAAAAATACGGCATTTCCAATCTTAGTCCGCTGTGAGGCGAATAAAGATAAGTGCGTCTTGCAATGCTGGCATTTCTGAAATATTTTTCTTTATTTTCTTGAACTTTTAACCCTCGCCGGCACAGGCCATTTTGCGTCCTTCGACGGCACAAGGGGGGGGGGGGTTTGGTACGACCCCCCTCGCGTTGGCCCCTGATCGAGCTAGAGCTTCGCGGAAAAAAACGAGCGTGTTGCCCGTCACGAGACGAAGCCGATGATACCCAATTTTAAGGTCCTAGGTCATCGGGTGACCTTCCAGGTCAGGTCAATGACCCGAAAACCGGGAAAATCGGGACCTGTTAGAAAGTCGTAAAGTGTGGCTGCTATGTGGTTTTCCGGGGTGCTGATCACAAATATCGTGTTAGTTTTGATCAGAGATGATGTCTTTAAGCATTTAGACCAAGTCGGGTCAGGTCATGTCAGGTCAACCGGTAGGGGTTGTGACGGGTATTCGTAATACGTGTCAACCGCCTCTGACAGCTTCGTAACATGTTACGAAGGCACCAAAACTACTTCGTAAATGTTCAAATGGTTGCTAAATTCGAATTCAGCTCAAAAAACTAGCCTAGAAACATGTAAAACTTTAAAAAGTAAACCGAGGTCACCCGAGGTCATCAAAGGTCAATGACCTGACCTGACCTTCAGATGACCTTGACACCCAACCTTATGTATGGGAGCAACATCAAATCACATGTTTGAACGTTTGAAACCACGAAAAGCTTGCAAACGCGCGGCTAATGCGAGCCGACATACGCCGAATCGCGAATCCGGCCAAACATGGTCTCGGAAAAGAGGTCACAGGTCAAAGGTCATTTGGGTCAGGGTCATGAAATTTTCAGGGTAGGTGCAAAATTGATCAATGCGGGGGTACTGAAAGTGTCGTCGCGATCGGCCGCTTTTTACGCGAGGTATTCGCGAAAAACCTTAGGGGGGGTTGCATCAACCCCCCCGTGCCGGCTAGGGTTAAGGGGGCAACACCATTCAGAATGGAATAGGTAGGTACGGGCGATGTCTGATGATATATGCTACGGTTTTGAATAACACGTGATTTCAATCAAGTAATGGTAACTCAATGTCAAATATCGAACTTCAAGATAGGAAAAAACGACTCGACGTTCAATTGATTGTTCTACCATCGGTGGCTTTAACTGCAATTACTGATTTCCATATAAAACTGCATTTGGAAGTCGCACAGGTACTCGTATAGTTGCCTACCACAGCCAATGCCACGATTTAACCCTAGAACGCCTAGGGGGGGGGGGGTTGTATCACCCCCCCCCCCCTGAGGTTTTTTCGAAGTGCACGCTAAACGGCTTGTCGTAGCGGGCTGAAATTTTCAATACCCTCTGGGGCAACCTTTGCGCATCTTTTGCCGAAAAAAATTGATCGGGTCATGTCAGGTCACGGAGTTATGACGTCATAAGAGGTACAGCCTCCGGCCGACAGTTACCAAACGTGTGCGCCGAATCCCTAGGTTTTCTGCCGGTGATACCCACATTGTTTGATGGATCATGATGAAACTTCCCATGCATGTTGGGGCAAGCATTGGCTATCGTGTGGTGCAATAAAATTGACCGGGTCAGGTCAGGTCACGGAGTTATGACGTCATAAGAGGAACAGCGTCCGGTACTATTTTTGAAAAGCGCCCGAACCACTATTTTGCTAATTCTTGTCACCTCAATGGGAATATGCAGCAATATTAGCTTCTATAGGGAGCAAATGGACCTCCCAAATCCGAAAATACAATCAGATTTCAAAAATTTAAATTTTGATTTTTCGAATTTCTGCCGCCGACTGTGACCTTGCCGACTTCAGGCGCTCCCAACGCGCCATTTTTAGAGCTAGGGAAACGAAATACATACCAAACGATAGAGAATTGATCAAGGAACACGATAGTGAAGGTTTCAAGTCGATATCTCTCACCGTTTTGCCGCAATCGCCGCGGAAAGTTGAAAAAAGTCTATTTTTCCGAAAATTTGACCTTTGACCGGTCAAAAGTAGGTCAAATGTTGACCTAGGACCAAAAAATATACCACCAATCGCGAGATCTCGTTAAGAGCAATCCGTTGGTTTTTTCCGCTAAGCTCTACGACCTTCCGTTTCGAAACGCCAGGGGGGGGGGGTCGTAACAACCCCCCCCCCTGGTCGTTCGTGTTATGAGAAATGGCCTGGTCGTGCGAGGGTTAAATGCTCGCGAGCATTCAACAGCCTGATACTGCTGAGAGCTGAAATAACGGGTAGCAAAGTGACCGACTGCGACCTTATATTGACGGTCCAATTAGGTAAGAGAGATGTTATGTTATTTGCTTTAACAAGGCTGGTATTTTCCATTTGCCTAATTGACACATGACACGCCAATTTGATAATAGCCGTTTTCACGACGGGCTATCCGGCGAATGCACCTAATTTGACCAAATCTGCACCTAATTTCTGTTACAGCAAATATCTTCGTATTGTGAATTTATTTCAGTGTTTTAATCGATGATACTCTCTGATAATATGACAAAGCAGGCATATAGGTAAGCAATTAGCGCAACCCTAGCTCATAGATACTAAGAGATGCAATTGAACCTAATTTGACCAAATCTGCACCTAATCTGCACCAAATGTGCACCAAATGTGTACCAGATGGCCGTCGTGAAAACGGCTATTGATATTGCGTGTAGGGAGTGAGCATCATCCATAATTTTTGCATCACAAATACCTTTGACCAGCATTATTCTAAGACTCTTTGCCTTAGATTTCACCGCTCCTTCGATATTCGATGTCGTAAAAGATAAAATTCAGAATAAATACTTCAATCATTAGCAGATCAATTTGAACTGATCACTCTTGAATACGGACTTGATATAGACTGCATCAAGATACTTTATGTACATAAAACGCAAATATGCAAAATTACTACGTTTTCCGTGGGAACAGATAGATTGCTCGCCGCTTTTTTGACGACACTGCATGAATTCCCAACTGGCAGGGCGTGGATGGTCGCTGTCACAGTGCCCGCATTCGCGGGCGGTGGCCCCGCTCCCTCGGCCCGTATCTGTCAGTGGGGTCAGGTCACACCAGGTCGGCCGTGACACGCCAACGGTTCGATATCAGCGACAGCGAGCTCGACCTCGGAGGTCCTGCGTCGGCGCTGGGGCCGAGAGTATAGTGCGTTTACTGATACGCTGAGATCAATATCACTGGGCGTGGGCTAACGTTCAGTAGTCGAACAAGTCCTCGGTGTGGCTAAATATAAATGCCCTTTCATTTTTTTATAGGATTCCACGCTTGTATGCCTCTCGTACCAAATCAGATTGGAAGTGCGCTAAACGCTTACATAATGCGCGTGACGAATTAATTACGTGAAAGCTGTAGTGGGCGAGTTAACTAGGCCGATACTAGGCATAGGAGGGCGGGAAGAGACGAGACCCGCATTGCAGACACATTGAGGTACACTCTGGGTCTGGTATGACCTTTTCTTGTATCGCCAGCTGTGGTGAGCCCGCACTTGTTGATCTTCCTTCATAGATCATACACACATCTGCACTTCCTAGCCAATGTGAAAGTCGTGCGAAAGAAAGCAAGCTCAATGCGTCTGTGGCTCAAACAAAACGCAATGCCTTCCTTTGTATGTAGATTGTAGAACGTAACCCTCTCGACTCTTGTAATATATCGGCTGATACCATAAGAAAATTAAAATGGAAATTCAAGTTTGCCAAAAAGTCCATGATTTGAATTTCTCACGGTTACGGTCTATGAGACGGATTATACAGGCGAATGCTCAGTTAATGTGAATGATATATTGCTGTAAAAAGTGAGATGCTTTATTCCTTTTCTCGTGCGTCTCTTTCAGCTCCCTTATCCCTTCTGCTTTCTTCTCTTTCTCGCGTCTCACTTCCAGTTCCGGCACCGCCCCACACATCTTCCATCCGCCTCTCCTTTGCCGTCCTTCTCTTCTCTAGAGTTCTTGCTTTTTCCGCGCCCAAGCCGGACGCGATGTGTTTACGTTTGAAGTCTCGTCCTGCCGCACCACGTCTCGTCAGGATTACATGTAGACAGAAGGGCCTGGTAACCGACAACTAGTGACGTCATAGGGCCTGAGGGTCACTGGTGGGGTCGGGGCAGCCGGTGCCGCGGTGGTACGGCACCGAACACTTGTGGCTGGGGGCGGCTGGCGCACGGCAGCGGCCCGGAGCGGGGAGGGCGACACGACTCTCCACCATCTGATAAGGTCAGGTCACCAGAGACGAAGGTGGTGGTGGGGAGGGAGAGGGGCAGGGGCAGGTCAAATGTGTAGTCGCGCCTCGACTCTATTTCGAAATGCGCTAGGTGCCCATGTTGATATTTGAGGTCAGTCACATCTCGGCATTTTTATCGTAAAGAGCTTGAGCTCCGAGCCATGTTTTCAAAACTGAGAATATTTTCGGTAGTCATCTAGGAATCTCAGAAAAGGTAGGTTTTATCAATGTGTTATTTTTGAACTAAAAAAAAAATCAGCTCTGGTATCACCAGTATTGGTATTATTTGTTTGCTGTCTATGGCTGGCTGTTGATAGATGCCAGTAGCCAATGCTTTATATTTAGAGCATTATAAATCAAACAGCTATTTCATGAAATCGTATTAATTCGTGGAAGGCGAACAGATGGTAATCTGGATATGAATCGGTTCTGTTAGTAGGGTAGAGATAATAGATAAAGAGTAGATACACTTTTATCTGATAATTGATGGAGAGTGCAGAGGGACTCTGAGGACTGAGGAGTGATTGGAAGTATTTAGATTTCTGATAAAAATAACACCGAGTTATTGCACTGTAGTTTTCTTGCCGGCTGACAACCGATAACATTTTCTTTTCGAATATTGACTCAGAGTGTAAAAAGAAGTTTAAGAAATGACAGCGCCGAAGAACTTTTAGATCATTTGAGTACCTAATTATTATCTAAATTAGGGTTAAAAAAGAACACACTGTTTTTCTCTAAACCCTTAAAACTGCTCAAACAGGTTACCGTGAAAAATGAACCATATCGTCTACGCCCATGAGCCTGACGAAAAAGTCCGCCATGCACCGTCTCGAGCTACCACGGACGTCAAAAACCATGGAGGGCGAGCCCATCTCCCTCTCACTATGCCGGAAGGCTCAGTGAGGCGGGGTGTACCCGCTCGAACCCGGCGAACCCTCCGCGGTCTCGTGCTCGTAGATAAGATAAACAAACCCGTCCAAGCCCACCTTGACATCACGCTGACGTGGCGCGGACATCTGGCGAGACTGGTCACCAAGTTGTGTCACAGAGACTGGCATGCGATTCATAAAGTCATGCGTTAGTGTAATTCGGAAAAGAGTTGATTATTTCTTACACTGAAAAATGTTCTATCGAGGACCATTAAGATACAAGTACCTAATGGTGGTAATGATATTCCACTTGGATGAAAAAGAAGCACTTACCATTAATACACGTTTAAACATCCGCGTAAATACTTGATTTGTAATTGCATATTTGTGTGCTCTGACCCGTTGTATTGCTATCTACGACGTTGTATTGCCGTATACGCTTTTGAATCGTTCGAAAGAAAATGGGCTCCAGTAAAACGAATACAAGTTAGGTATTTAGTGTGGCAATGGATGTTTTTAATGGATCGGCTCTCGTTTATGTATCGAGCGTTTTAAATGTCAGCAGGCAGCAGCCCTAGGACTCAAACTCAGGCCCTGGTATAGACACATCTTAAAATCAAATATTGTACTCAATTTTATGGCTTACCAAAATGTTCCTCAAAATAATCTCTCTACACAATACGAAAATGAAATTCATAAAACAACATCTAATAGCTACTTTGTCATAGCTTCCACGTTGGTACTCCTTCTGTCGTATTAAATGCTTATCTAATTCGCATTGTGAATACATGCGGGTTCTTTGGTTTCAGGTGACGGCGACACGTCGCCAGCTGACCGCTCCAACAAACAAAGGGGCGCACCAGTAAGCCAAACGGCGCCATAGGCTGAATAATGACGTCAAACAGCGCACAAGTGTGGGTGTACCGACAGTGAACCCTGCGCTAACGACGGAAACACGGCTGGATATCCAGAGAGACACAGCCGTGATAGCCAGACATCAGCACGTCAGTCGACGTCACCGCAGCCTCACGACACTGAACATCACCAAGTGACGTGACGTCTCAGCGAGCCGTGACGTCTCAGCAAGCCGTAACGTCTCAGAGTACCGTGACGTCCAGCCCAGTCTCTGGAGTGAGCCCCGCTCCCGTCCCATCGGCCATGTCGCCGCCGGCGTCTCCGCCGGGCCCGTACTCGCCCCTGCACGAGCCGTGCCGCCGCGCGCACGTGCGCCGCTGTATGTGTGTGCGTCGCAGCAGCTGTCTGCTGGCCGGTTACACGGTGTTCTACCTGCTGTACGTGGCTCTGGGCGCCTGGGTGTTCAGCTACCTGGAGCAGCCGGCTGAGCAGCGACTCCAGCAGCGGCTCGAGGAAGACGTGCGGACGTTCCTCGCCAGCTACAACTGTGTGCCAGGTGGGTCCTAGCCAGCTATTGCTGTACTCCGGGATGGCACCTTATCAGATGTCCCTCAACCTTGACAAGCTATACAATTGTACATGATAATGATCTGGGATGGGAGTTGTTGACAGTGTCTGCAAATTTCGTGAACGCTGGTTGAGAAGATATCGACCAGCTTGCATCCTACAATGCAAATTAATTCAAATTAGTGATTCAGCGTTATACCACGAGGTCCATTAAATGCCTACTAAGCTTGAAGTTCCTTCCATTTTCTATATTTTTAGCTGTCAGACTGAACTTCATACCTATCTAGGTACAGGCAGCAGGCCTCTCATGGCATGATGAAATTAAACGCGACGAAAATAAGCAAACTGAATCTCTTACAAATATCACAGTGGTCCATTCCTCCTCCCGCTGCCCCAAATGTACCAGGCACCGACACAGGGCCGGCGAGGACGAGCTCGCTGTCGCTGACATCGAACTGCTAGCGTGGCATGTCCGACTCTATCTGACCTGACCCGGCTGACAGAGACGGACACTGCACATCCTGAACATGGTGGAAAATATCCCAGCCAAAAGAGCACTGAACTACGCTCCAAAGATAGACTAAAGTTTCCGAATTAATTAGGTCCGATAAGCTAGTTTACTGGTGTGATAGCGGGCTACCTCATTAACTGATCCTGCGATAGTGCAAAACTTGCAGACATGAAAATATATTCCTCCGAAGCTGTCACGTTAGATCACCAGCAATTTATCCGCCCTCTCCTAGGCTTCAGTCAGTGTACTTAGTTTGTAGCGCGGGATTCTGCCGGCCATCTTTCCTTGTATGTATCTTTTTTTATTAAAGAAGAAACAGCCGAAATCCCTAAATAATCCTTCTGTAAGGCTCACTTGACCTTCTTTCAACAGCTCTACCAGTATGGACGAGGCTTACGTGCCGGGGTCAAAGTACGGCCATTTTTCTCCTCTTCGACGTTTAACGGCACATACCTCCCCGCACATTACACAATGCGGAGCTATATACTTTACGTAACTGTGAGAACATGTGTGCAACCTTTGAAAAGATCCGGTTTCAACCTGCACAAACCCATGTTATCTCCCGTCGATGCATTGCATCGATGCGATCACCCGACGCCTTTCAGGACGTCTGTGACGTTAGTAACCGCGTCTCGCATCGACCTGGGTAGCTCGCTGTAAGGAGCCTAACGCTGAGTGAGCGAATATTCTTTTGCCCAGCTCAGCTCGCACCGGCGAAATGGGTGCCTGAAGCTTACTGTCGCCTCAGCTATACGTTTATTATAATTGTGTATTTCGAGCTGAACGTAAACTTCGAATGACGAAGCAATGTAAAAAGTGACGAATGAAAGTATGGATGTCAGGGGCCTTAATATATAATAATAATGATTAAGCACAACTGGTGTGTTCCAGAGGAGAGGCTGGACATCCTGCTCCAGCACGTGATCAGGGCCAATAACCGGGGCGTATCAGCGTCCAAGAACATCTCCAGCGGGCCAAATTGGAGCTTTGGACAGAGCTTCTTCTTCTCGACCACCGTCGTTACCACCATCGGTAAGGGTCAGGATACTCGCTTTAGGACAGGTGAAGGAAAGGTCAAATAATCATAGGTAAAAGCCGGGCTGAGCATAGTCGTTGACGGGCGTTTAACTAGTACCTAAAAAATTGGTACCTAAACGGCGGACTAGTGCTAATCACGATTTGAGGAAAGTCAGAAGTGGCGTGTTTATTTTAATGTTCATTTTACTACGCATTACGCAAGCCTTCTCGATGCAGAACTCATTCTGTTGGTCCGGTGTGGAGTTGAAAGCGCTTAATATTCTGCAAATTTACGAGCAACACATAAATTCAAATTAAAAACATATTGACGGGTGGAGACTTCCATTTTGCGTCTAGATAGACGTGTATAAGTCTTAGACGCGTCTAGCTGGACGGCGGCTGCGTCATCTGGCGACAGCTAACTTTAGACGCGTCTAGCTTGGAAGTATCCGTCCAACAGTTAGACGCCAAGTTAGATGCCAACTTGGACGTCTGCTCAGTTAGACGCCAGTTGGACGCCAGTGGAAGCTCCACCCATTGACGCCGCCGATATCTCCTTGTGATACGTTTGGTAGAAATATCATTGTTTATTGTATCGTCGTATTCTGGCTAAAGCTCAGGCGATGCTTGCAAACTGCAAAGCAAAATATCCATTGAATTTATTTCCTCATGCATACTAAGCCACGATTCAAACTACCACAGCTCTGTACGAGGCCCTGTATTCCCCACAGGGTACGGTCACGTGACCCCGCTGTCCGAGGCCGGGAAGATCTTCTGTCTGGTGTTCGCGCTGATCGGGATCCCGATGACGCTGGTCCTGCTGACCGCCTTCGTGGAGCGTCTGATGGTGCCCTCCACTGTTGCCCTCCAGGTCAGAGACTACGCCCTCCCTCGTGGCCCTCCAATGCGATCCTTCAGTTCAGAGACCGGCATCATGGTCAGCGCTCAGTGCCGTTCATCCATGGTCAAAGACTATGTAGTGTGTCCCCATGCCACAGCATTCTGGGCCAGAGAACGCGTTTCCGACAGGTCTGATCACCGTTCATTCCACCGTTTGAAGAAATACAACCATTTCATGTATAAAATTTGCTACCATTCTGTCATTGCTACCATATATTTCTACAAGTGTCATTGACCCAAGATGTGCTTTGAGCCAATTTTACTTGCGATTTTTGGATCATTCGACTGATCGCCTGTGCCTTTCTGCGGCGTTTCAGTGGCTCGGCTTACGGCTGGGACACGTCTGGCAGCCGTTCAGCATACGGATGGTGCATCTGACGGTCGTCGGCACGCTGGTCGTATCGTTCTTCTTCCTGGTGCCTGCCGGCATCTTCTACCACATCGAGGGCGACTGGACGTTCCTGGACTCGCTGTACTACTGCTTCATCTCGCTGACGACGGTCGGACTCGGCGACTACATACCGGGAGACAGCCCGGGACAGACCAACCGGCCCATCTACAAACTGGCCATCACAGGTGGGTAATGGAATAGAGTAAGACAATCGTTCATCTACTAACTGAGTGTCACAGGTGGGCACATGTAAGTCACAAAGAAGGACAATCACCCATTTACAAACTGGCAACCAAAGGTGGACAGACAGAGGGGCGGCAGTACCTATATTCACAAACTATAGACACCACAGGTGGGCGCATAAAGCCGCCCAACAGGCATTCTTGAACGAGCGTCACTTTTCTTTAAAGACAATGTCATCCATCCACATATCGGTGACCACAGGTGGTTATGGACATATTGGACAATCTAAGAAACGGACAGGTGGGTGGGTGTGTATCAGGTTGTGGGCGTGGCCAAAACTACCGGCAGTTTAGGGCACGATTGGGAAAGCCTATCGTGCGGGTGATGTGCTCGTCGTTAGACATTGAAATGGCGCTGTGGCGTTTTAGACTGGCATTTCTACGTTTCAGACTATCATTTTAACGTTGACGGCGAATCTTGTCGTTTAGCGATATAACGTTATAACATTATAACGTAGTGATACGCCGACGCTAAATTTTTAATGTTTCACGATACATAGCAGTCGGCCCAGTGACGCCATAACGTCGTGATGTTTCAGGTTACCTGCTGGTCGGTTTAGTCACAGTGTATATAAATAGGTTTAGTGACGATGTGACGTTGTGACGTGTTTCAGGTTACCTGTTGGTCGGTCTGGTGATGATGATGTGGCTGCTGACGGTGTTCGCCGAGATCCCTCAACTGAACCTGGGCATCTGGTTCCTGCACCAGTCAGACGAAACCACCTCCGACCCGGAAAAAATGCGCCTGTCGGGCCCGGCCATTGGCCTCCCCAACTATAGCGCACAGGTGGGTCGGAATCGAACCACTTATTCACTGTTAAATGCAGCGCAGCTGCATTTACTGGGAAAACTGGCATCACGAAAGAAAACACCGTTAGACCAAAGGAAATAAACACATCGATGGACAGAAAACTAATGAATTCAATTATCCGGGAACCAGCCAGCAAGCAACATACCAGAGACCATTCACAGTAAATCAGTCAAAATTGTCAGTGCGCCGCATAGATCGCAGGCTGTGCGCAACGCATAAAACGCCAACATTGGTCAATAGATGGCAGTACACCTTTTTGCGTTAGCCTTTGACCATTGGGCAAAACATTTGTACACATTCGCCATATAGGTGGCGCTACAAATGGTCGGTTGGTCACAAAGAATCACCATTGTGCAAAACTATTCGGCGATCTTCCCGTATAACTCGACATTGGACAAATGGTTCAACATTGTGCAAAACAAATCGTCAATGGTCGAAACTATTCGTCATATGCCGAGCGAGCTCGCTCAATGCCGAATTCTGGCGAAGTGTTAAACTGTTTTGCGGATCGCTCATTTCAGTGTTCAATCTGTTTTGCTGAATGGCTGAAATGAAACACACCACGCCGGAATAGTTGTGCTCAATGCCGATTGTCGAAATGGCTCCTCAAACAGTTATGGCGAATGGTTGAATTCAAATGCAAAAAGGTGTAGTAACGCGCGCCTGGAGGTAGACTGTGCCGCAGTGCAGCTCCTGGAATTAGTTGACACCGCGGCCGGTAGATGGCTATAGAGGTGAGCGCCTAGGAGCATACTGTGCCGGATGGCATTCCAGGCACCGGGGCCGGACTGCTGTTGGGCGCGCTGGTTTTCGGCTTTCGCTCAGCTAGTATAAAACGATGCGTAATTCTGACTGTACAATGGGTCTAAAGACTAAAGAGGATGTATTTACAATAAAAAACATGCCCACAATGACAGCCAGCTAAATATCGGGCAGTGACGAGCGGGCTTCCGCTCGCCCGCCTCAGTGGCGTGACTGAGTTAGCCAGTACGGGTTTGTCTCAAACGTGAAACGAATGACGATAAACGTATTACTAGCAAGTGGCAATACCGCCAAATCATTGCGCCACAATAGCCCATACTGGCTTGTTTTCCGTTTCAGAGTGGCTCTCTGAAGACTCCATCTGCCGACCGGTCTACCGAACAATCGCAGGCCTCCAGTCCCGATAAGGGTACTCCGACTCACGGACGACGCTAGTCGGGATTCGGATCACACAGAGGCCGTATCAAGCGGTAGACTGCGGTGGAGTGACTCAGAGAGCACCTCCAGCCCAGCAGCGGCGTCCCTGAATGCGTCTCGGGAGGGACCTCAGGGTGTCCGATGTGTCGCCTAGCCGCCCCTTCCGGTGAATTTAGCATCAAAGATGACCTCAGCAGCATGCCTGGGCAATAACGTTCGACGAGACGGGCATGTGAAGAACTGAATAAGTGAGTATAAGCGGCTCGCATTCAGCTCTTCATTCAGGTGTCCTCACACCAACTCGATGTTGTGTGAGGTGTTCGCGCGACGCCTCGATATTCAGCAGACAGATACGATCAATTTCCGACTGCACACCGTCTCATCACGGCCGATGTAGGAGTCAGCCCGCGTCTCTGCCGTCTCAGCCCGGCGCGGCGCCTCATGGCGCTGCCGATGACTCACGAGCGACTGGAGACACGTCCGTCTTCGAACGGCGGCGGCTGGCAGTGTGTACCCGCTGACCACCCGCCCGCCAACAGACCACCGCCGGCGGCCGGAGCGGCTCCCAGACAGGCACGTAGCCCGTCCCGCGGCAGTGCTGCCGCTAAATCGACTCCGCCATGCTATGAATGCTAATCCAAATCAAAAGAGACTGCGGTGCGCCGCCGGCGCCGTCGGGTTCCGGCCGTCCACCGAATGAGGGCCACTCAGCTCCGGAAAATTGTGCCGGAGAGAACGCTCAGTTTCAGCGATGTGCATCGGATGGAAACGATATCAAACACGTAACATATCTCCGTGCGAATGTGGGCGGGTCGTGCACGGTTCGTACCAAAGTTACTGTGAAATGAACAATTATATAGCCAGTGTGTCTGTATAATGTAATTACGCATGCATGTTTGTAAAAAAATATGGGAGCTCGGACCTGCTAAGGCACGTTTCGGGACCTCATGGAAGGCTCCTATTTACCTCGCTGTGAGCGCTGGCGGCACTGTGATGTAGCGTGAAGAAAGGCGATTAGGATGGAGCTGTCTATAAATGCCAGTGGCTAATAGTTATTGACATGAGCAATGACTCTAGTGTGTAACCAGATGGCGAATGGTGAGTCAGGCTGCATTAGTGACTGGCGAAAGGGATGAGTCTAGCCGCGTTGGTTTCTAAGAAGAAATGTCTCACAGCGTGGGTCGGCAATGTCTCATTGTGTGGATCTGCAGAAATATGAGTCAATACGTTCCTAGGTTTATTAGGAGAAATGCGAGACCAGCTGCGCGGAAATGTCATTAGAGATGCTAGTCTAATTGTATAGGTTTATTAGCGGAAATGTGAGAGCTAAACGGTGTGGTCGATGGAGCTGTGAGAAATGGTGTCCAGTCTGCGAGATTGTCAGAACTTCCGAGGCACATGTGTTCCGTGTCCTGTAAACGTGTATCAGACCCGGATGTATTCCCTTGTTAGCTCGCTGGTGCCAGTGGTGCTGGTGTTGGTGTCGGCAGTGGTGTCAGTGTAGAGCGCCGGCGGTCGGGCCGACCGTCCCTCCCTCACCAGTTTCAGTCTGGCCAGACGGCAGCCGCCGGCCGCCGGCCGCCAGAGAAATAGCCAGTCCAGTTAACTGCGATATACTGTTCATGGAATGGGGTCGGGCGCGGTCTGCCCGGTCGGGGGCGAGCTGCGCTGTGCTGTGGTGGAGTTTCTCGTACAGGGCCGGCTGGGACGGCCGCCGGCCGACCCTCGGGGCGCGCGGCGCGTCCGGCGTCACTCGGAACTGGTATGATATGGGGCGTCGGCGGGGACCGGACGGCGCGGGCCGTCAGGCGGGACTCGTGTGGTATCTCGCGTCCGGCCGTTAATTTCGGGAGACAGGCCGGCGCGGCAGCGCTGACCCTGGGCGACCTTTACCGTTCGGGGCCGGGGGCTACTGTTGACATGGCCCCAGGTCGGCGCGTCCTCATTCCCAAGTCTGCCCAATAGAACATGGTAGAACGAACCCTTCCCCAGCACACAGTAACAGACATATTTCACGTAACACAGCAGAACATACATATTTCGCGTAACAGTGGAACAGACCCGTCCCCAGTTCACGTATTACACGGTAGCTGAGACCTATACCGGTCCACAGCAGAGCACAGAAGAAAAGATTCGTCATAAACCTACACCTTGATCACGGCGCATCAGAAAAGGCTCCCCCCATCAGGCAGCACCCCACTGTAAGACACTATAGCACAGTAGAATAGTTAAGTATTCAGTTCACAGTCACACAATAGATCACTCTCATTCCCATCCACGCAGCACAATAACACAGCCACGAGTATAACAGACCCGGGCTTCTTCCTTGAAGAAGTGTCTCAGACCACAGGGTCTGTGACTGGACTCTGCACCCTCGTGCACAGGCACCACTGCACCAGCTCCTACGCAGCAATAGTTCCACTAATACCTCATCCGTTCCGGCTCGATTCTCTGCCGTGTAGCTGCCCACGCTACTCGGGATGCTGGCTCAATCACGTCCCATCCACCCGGGACGCCCCCCCCCCCCGTGGGCGAACGACCCCATCCCTAGGGGCAGGCCGGTGACGGAGCTAGCGAATGACTGGAATGGATCTGAGAACTTTCCGTGCTCCCGGAACTTGTAATGGGTATGGGGAGCTACAGCTAGTGCGACTTTTGGTGGCGCGGTAACTGTTGAAGGATCCAGCGGCTGTTGACGGGTCTGGAGACTGTTGACGGGCCCTGTAACCCACCGTTGCATCGTTCACGGATTCTGTTACCGTTGGCGACCCTCTGGGACCGACTATCAAGTCTCGCTGTGGTCCGTTGACGGTTCGTAAAATAGTTGACGGATCCCTGGTTTGCTGACGAGTCCCAGGACTCCTGGCGGGTCCCTGTGACTGTGACAGGTCTCTGATCTGCTGACGGCTCCCTGGAACTGTTGACTGTCGCCGCCCACCGCCCGTCGCGGCACGCTCTGACACTTGACTCCGCCGGCTGCGTCCCGCTGCCGCCGCCTCTGTACCCGATCAATAGCCACGTGCGTAGGCGGAGGATTGCCGGCTCTGGCCGAGTCCTGTGGGCCGGCTGTGCTCCGCCGAGAGCGGTACACGGCGGTACACCGCGGTACAGGGGAGTACAGGGCGGTACAGCGATGGGATGAGGTACGGATGGGCGCTGGGCAGCGGAGGGGCGATGGAAGCGGGTGGGAGTGGGGGAGGGGTGATGTATCTTGCGGGCGTTGTTGTGCATGTTGAAATGAGACGGAGATTGAGTTATAAACATATCGTGAACGATGTTTGTGAGTGGGTGTTTGAGTGGTCGTGGTTGACGTGAGTGGGACATTGAGCGAGAAGGAAGGCGACTTAGACGTACAGACGTGCTAAAAAATATCTCACCCGACCAGTTTCAATTTTAAATAGTCAGGCGAATTTAACTAAATCTTTCAATAATCGTACAATATCCATGACAACTCTGAGAACATTTCATGTTAGGCAAAAATCCATTCGAATGACGCCGATCGGAGTGCTATTTTAGATCGCTGGTAACCATTTTAGATACATACAACGAAATAACAAAATGCAACCCTTCATACTCGATCTCTGGTGTTACTCAATACCTGAGTAAACACGTAGTTAGATGCATCGGAATATTCTAGATCGCTCTCTCCATTCATCCAATAAGACATTTCGTCATAGTGCGATCGGTGAACGATCATGCGTAGTGGGTAGCTCAGACGTAGAAGCGACTCCCTACGCGAACTCGACGCCCATTCAGCACCCACAGTTACGACCCCAGCGCTGCGCACCGCCACCTCTGCCCCTCTCTCCGGGGGAGAGTGGAGGCGGACCTGGGCAGGGTATCAATCAGGGGCTCTGTCACGGTGCGTCACGCACCCGTCACCAAGCTGTCACGGTGACAGATTGTCACGAGCTGACGTCACTGGTCAGCCAGGCGGCCATCCCGTGATTGAATCCCATGAAGGAGTAGGTATGTACGATGAGCTTTGAGTACGGCCAAGAACGGAGTGTTTCGCAAGGAATCCATGCAACAAACACATTTAACGCTACAGGTGCATCCGGTAGTCAGAAACAAATAACTCGCATCACTGTATTCACGGATCTCTGAGTACAAAAACGCTCAACGAAGCAAGTAACACGCTTACACACGTGGCATCACAGTAACAAATGACTTGACATTGACTCAATATCGCCCCTCCCCGCCACTAGCACCTCTACCGTCAGCTGAACTGCTCACTCGCTGGCGAAAAACCTACCGGAGGATACCACTCAAGAATGGGCCGTGCCGTGGCCGGTAGAAGTGCCCACATTTTGAACCGTTCGCCCATCTCACCGGTCAGCATATCGTAGGCTGCTTTTAGCTGGGTGACGCGATCGGGTCCTGCTGAGGCCGTGAGACGCTGTGGAGGGAGAGGAGATGTCAGAATCGGAGACTCCGCGCATCGGCTGACCGGGCGGGGAGGATTCGTCTAACGGCAGATAAGGTCTGATTACAACGATAATCGATACCTATATAACGATGACGGTTGATTCTCTCAAGTAAAGATTCTCTCATTCTCTCTTTATGAGAGGTAATGATTGGCGAGATTGTGCGAGCAAGCTGTGCTGCGCCGGCCAGGACGAGATAGGGGACTGGACCGGACAAAAGGAGAAGACCAAGGCACAGTTGTGGTAATGAGGCCAGATTGATTAGCGTTTAGTGTAATGGTACGATCAGCTACCTGCAGTATCAATTCATTTGTGATTAGAAACTATATAGTCTATGCATTATGCAAAAAGCATCTCCCAGACATCGACCGTAATTCGTGACGTAAAATCGACAAACATCTGATTAACACCGAAAGCTGCGTACTTTTGAGACGCTCTACTGCCAGCCACTGAACGCGACATATGACGCGACTTCAGGAAGCGACAAATCGCCGCCCGTTGTGCGCTGCTGAGGAGTTTCAGCCAGGCAGACTCCAATATACCAAACGAGGCTGACCCTGACATCGGGTACCACACCCCCGACAGCGCAGTGACGGCTCGTCGGCGGACGTCGCGCCTGACGGTACGACGCAACAGGCGGTCAGTCTGGGCGCCGCCAACGCACGCACACAGGCCGCCGCGGTCGATAGCGGGCGCACGTGGGCAGCGGACGGCGCCTATAGACCTATACGTGCGCCGCCCGAGCGGACAGGGATTCGAGCGTATGTCACGGTGGATGTCTGTTGCAGCTCACGGTAAATAGCAACTGTGTCTCACAATAAATATCTATTGCGCCTCGAGCGTCGATATCAGTGGCAGCTCACAGCTAAGATTAACTGCATCCTAAAGCAATATCAGCTGTAGCTTACAGAACATATCTGCTGCATCTTACAACAGATACCAGCTGTATCTTACGACAAATATCAGCTGCATCCTACAACATATATCAATTGTATCTTACAACCACGGCGCCTCATCGAGAATATTAGTTCGTAAAGCTCACAGCTGACAGCTCGATCCTAAATACGGCGTCGCAAGATGAGACGACGACGGCGAGCGTCAGCCCACAATTATTTCTCTCATTATTTCTCTCATTCCCTCGCAATACCACCTTGGTTATCACACAATACCCGACGGCGTACCTCTTGAAAAGACTAATTACCACACATCATCTCGACAGCCGCCTCTCTCGGAACGGCGATCGATGCTGCGAACTTTAACCCGGCGCCCGAATAAGATCACAATAGCCTCGGCAACAGCCGGTCCGGGTGAACGCTCGCGCACGGCAGCCTCGTCCAGGAACACAGCCGGCCCGGGAACATAACCGAGGGACGGCCGCGCTGGGCCGGGCAGGGCTCAGAATAGGAGGCCCGCCCCCGGCCGGCCGGGGCGCACGCCGTCCGGTCTGATCACTATCGAGCTCAATCCATCAGGACGGCCGGGCGCCGGCCGGGCGGCTCGGCTCAGACAGATGGGCCGAGCGGCGGCGCCGACAACGGAACAAGTGGGGGTGGACAAATGAGCCTGACGAGCAGGTGGAAACCGAGAGCAAATACCGATGGTAGAAGGGTGTCGCGGCGTAGGTAGGTGAGTAGACGGTCTGAATGAACAGATGGAGAGCGAGTAGGATAAATGGAATAGACGCTGACAGGAGCGGTATGTGTTCACTGTTTAGTGTTGTAAGCCATAAGACACTACAAGGATGACACGAGCCATGAAGATAGGGTGAGCACTTAGAAGGCACCACTGATACCAACACACAAAAGCCTTATGGAATCGAATAGAGTAAGTCAATAGTATCATGGCCTTGATCGGGATGAGTTCTCACTATCCTTGGAGCCTCTACTAATATGAGAAAGTCACGCTATAACAAAGTTTTCCTCTAATGACTCTGGCCTATGACGTCCACGTTTGATGACGGCAGCCTCTGATGGCACCATCAAGCCCACCATCCCACCAGAGCCCACAGCGCGGGCCCGTCATATGAAGCGCAGACTAATTGCTCCCGTTCTCTGGTATGAGCCGACTGTGAAGTTTTGCAATCGGCCCGGCGCCGCCGGTCGATGAGCGCCGCGCGGTGCAGTGGTGCGGCGGTGGGCCCACGGCAGCGCGCGGGGGCGGTCTCCCCCGGGCCTGATGGGTCGTACAGCGGATCTCGGCCGGCGTCGCCGCTGACTGACTGACGGCCCTATACAACCGTCTACGGCCGGCAGAGCCAGGTGGCGACGTAACTTGGACCCTTTGCATAGATTGGACGCTGACTTACGAGCCAAGTTTTGGAAGGACGGCCTTTGTCATGGAAATGGGAGGATCCATGCTCCATGATATTACTATCAGGGATATTTGCAGATACCGCAGAAGGGGTCCATACAAAACTTAGTGTTATTGATCAAGTAACTTTTACCAGCTAACCGGATTAGCTTTCAAGCATATGGTGCAATTTATTCTGAAACTATCACCCAGGACTATGATAGATAATGTAATCACTGTGAACGAGATTATATAAAATACAAATGACATCTCGCTCTCGCTCAAGCGCTTTTTGCTATAGTTAAGGAAGAACATCCAAATTAGCTAGAGGTAAAACATATGTATCATAATTCGGCTTGCTTATCGTCACTGATCATAATGTGTCTGCTGTTGGGACACTACGCTCTTTCAGCTGAGTTACCATCTAAAGAGAAATGAAAGCTGCCAACTTGGTAGCACCCTCCTTTGCAGGTAACCTGAATGCATGCAAACACACCAGAACCCCACAAACACGTGTCCACAAAACCACCTTAGCTGTGAAAGCTCAACTTCCTCTGCAGTGCTGCTGCTGCACTGCCAACTGCCACACCTATCTCCTGTGGCCTAATTAAACTCGCCGCTGGTTACAACGCGTTAATTAGGCGACAAAATTAGCTGTCGACAGGCGCCCAGTCACAGTGGCACCACAATGCCTCGCCAGCGGCGGTGCAATTTTCCGCAGAGATTGGCCGTACCTTTAACGACTGCAGGTAATCAGGGGCCGGCTAAAAATGACCGCCACACGGTAAAGAGCGCACACCGGGGTCATGGGTGGGTTTCAGTGGTCCCCCAAACTCCCACAGAGCTGTTTAGTTAGGTTTTGAGGGAGCTAGTAGCGCTGGGAATATCAACTTTGTGACACGGGCCTAGAGAGTGATGGGACGGAAGGTTGAGACGGGTGAGGGGAGGCGGCTAAATTTAAGAAGGGTTGCAGACACATCTGAGATGGACTGGCTGATAGGTTAACTGAGATAAGCGTACACAGGATCAGCCAGGTGGGTGAGTGGGGTATAGATAGTAGGGTTGCAGTGCCGGTATGAAGTGACACGGTAAATTTGAAGAGGGTAGGAGTGGTGAGACACTTCAAATATGATGTGTGTCCGAGGTGATAAGATAAATTTGAAGAGCATGACTCAATGGGAGTGGCGAGCCAACATCAGCATATTGACATAACCATGCAATATAAGCATGTGACATAACCATTGCAAGCTGAACAAAGTTACCTGATAGGGATAACACAACAACCTGGGCACTGCACGTGCCATGTTATCAGTTATTCCTGGGAGACCCTGGTCTTGAGCCGCCTCTTGCTCTGACAACTGTTATATTTTAAAAGCCCTCTGACCCTTCACACTTCATAGTCAAGATGATAGGCCACATTAGGATTGCAGTGGAACGTCCGTTCCGATATCAATAAAGTCTCGGTCAAATACCGGATCAACTATCACGCCAGCGACAAATCCACTACCCGGTCTCCCCCTCCCTCCATGGCTCACCATCCCCATTCTCTCTTCCTTCCTTTATTTCTCCCTCCCTCCCTTTCTTCTTCCCTTCCCTCCTCTCCCTACCTTCCATCCTCCCTCCCTCCCTTCGTCCCCCTCATTCACTCCCTCCCTCTCTCATTTTCTCTCTCTCTCTCTCGCTCCCTCTCTCGCTCCCTCTCTCGCTCCCTCTCTCGCTCTCTCTCTCTCTCTCTCTCTCTCTCTCTCTCTCTCTCTCTCTCTCTCTCTCGCTCCCTCCCTCTCTCCCTCTCCTCTCTCACCTCCAGTCGCGCCTGCAGTCCCAGCTCTGCCAGGAAGTGTCTCTGCTCCACCGGTCCAAAGCTCATCACATCGTGTCCAACAGCCCGCGCCAGCTGTGAGAAGTCCACATCGCACGTGACATCAGCGCTGCCAGGCGCCAGCAGCGGGTCCACGCACTGGTGGTTCCGGAACGCCCGCAGGGTGTCGCCCCGATCGCCGGAGTGACCGTAGTCGCAGACGAGCGCGGCGCCGCCGTCCGAGGCTACACGCTCAGCCAGCTCGGCGGCGAGCATGGCCGCGCGAGGAGATACCTCGAGTTCGTCCCGGCCGGCCACTGCCTCCTCCTGTCGGGAACAGGAGAGGGAAGTGATGGGGTAGGTAATAAAACAGAGGAGCGCTGGCGCTGGGGTGGATCGCGCCTGGCACATGTCAAACGGCAGCAACGATGCATTAGACAATGTAAGAGCCTTGAGCCATGGCAGGTCAGCAAAAGACTGAATGATCGATTGGAAAGCAATACGATCGAATAGTGCTATCAGTTAATTACAACCAGTTTAGTTAATTAAAGCTCAGACTGAGTTTTATTGGATAAGGTCTAGTATGCTGAGGATTGGTGCCTACGCCACTTCGTCATGATTCATGAAACTGCTCATTCACATAACATGTCAGGAAACATTTCACACCCTGACTCCGTGAAACATCTGTTAGCGACTGCGCCGGACTCACGTCAATGAAGACACAGGCGGGAGTGCGGCCACGGGCGAGCACGAACCGAAACTGGGCCGTCTGTTCGTCACAGAGATCGACCAGCACCTCCCCCCAGCCGGCCTCGGTGCGCTGGGGGGCACAAGAGGGGTGTGAGGGCACCGACAGCGCAGCTAAGGAGACATGAGAACATGCGAGAGTGAGTGTGAGAGGTACAGGTAGAGGGAGGGAAATTGAAGGAGGGAAGGGGACTAGGGACAGTGGGAAGAACTTAAGGAAGAAAGGATCAGTGAGGGTAGAATACAATAACGTAGGATAGGATTACGAGTACACTGAAACAAGATATTGGCAAAGGGGCCGGTAACACAATATCGACAGCAAACTTTCAAGTAAATAAAACGAATTGAGGGCATGAACTGTATAAATTGGACAAGGGCTCACGTCAACACAAGCAAATATCGTAAGGACAATATTAGCAGCGACACCATAAGAAAACAAGCGATCTGCGGTGATTGTCCTCTGTTCCTATCCGGCCTCCCCACTACTACGGTCGGTCCCCAGCTCTGCGCTGCCAGCCCCTCTCACCCTGAACTGATGTACGGGCAGCGCGTCAAAGAACTCGTTGGCGACGATCAGGGAGAACGCCTCCGGTACGTCGGTCAGCCGGTCGTGCCAGGTCACTGCCCTTCCGCAGGTCACCGTAGTGCCCGACAGCGGCCATTGGACGGCCGGCCGTGACGTAAGCTCCGTGCCGGTCCCTGATTGGTCAGAGGGTGCTTCGGAGCTCCGCACACTGCCACTTGATTGGGAGATAGAGGAAGTCAGTTGTCCGTCAGACTCTGATTGGTTGTTGGTAGGTGACGTCAGTCGATCCTGGGCGTCTGATTGGCTGTCACCAGGTAACGTCAGTCGATTCTGGGCATCCGATTCGCTGAGTGGCGGTGAGGAGAGTCGAACACCGAGCGACTGTGCCTGCGTCTCGGCTAGTGTCGCGCTCACTTCCACCAGACGTATGGCGATCTCCGCTTCTGGGGCCAGTCGGTTCACTACCTGTGCGGAGGGGGCGGGACAGTGACGTCAGCTGGAAGCGAGACGATGGGGAGGGGTGAATCCACGTTACAGGACCGGCCGGCGCAGTGGAATGACAGCGTGCCGCGGCGCACAGAGACGGTGAGTTCGATAACATGCAATCACCACCACTGACATTACCACTTAGTTCTCTTCCACCCAACTCCTCCACCTGTTAGCCATTCATTCTTTTCTGGACCGGTACTACATCGTCCTCAATCCCCGCTCAGATCCCTCTTTCTCCTTCTCTCTCCTGTCTCACCCGGAGAATATCGGCCATTAGAGTGCCTCTGCCCGGTCCGAGCTCCTCTCACCCGGAGAATATCGGCCATCAGTGTGCCCCTGCCCGGTCCAAGCTCCTCTCACCCGGAGAATATCGGCCATCAGCGTGCTCCTGCCCGGTCCGAGCTCCTCTCACCCGGAGAATATCGGCCATCAGCGTGCCCCTGCCCGGTCCGAGCTCCTCTCACCCGGAGAATATCGGCCATCAGCGTGCCCCTGCCCGGTCCAAGCTCCACCAGCTGCAGAGGCTGCGGAGCTCCCAGCTTCTGCCACTCGTGGAGCAGCCACACTGCCAGCATCTGATGGCACAGGTCAAATGTCAGGGGTCAAGGGCTGTGCCAGCTGAGCAATACAAAAGTAAGACACTGACAACATGCAAACATTTTCACAATGCCTAAAAACTCCTTGCTTTTTAAATCAAATTTCTGGTTGAAATTTGATCTAACAAAACAAATTAGTAAATACCATTCGGAGATGGTAGGTTTGGCTCTTATTCCCGCCCCTCCACTCCTAATGGACTTACCTCGCCGTACATACCGGCCACCTCTGGCGCGGTCACAAAGTCTCCGTGTTGGCCGACCTGGCTCTGGCGTGTGTAGTACCCTTGCAGAGGGTGGACCAGCACCTCGTTCATAAACTCGGCCACGGTCATGGCACCTGTGGCTCTGACTCGCGCCGCCAACTGGCGCGCCAGTGGTGTGATGTCATCAGAGGCAAGTGGGGGAGCGGTCGAGCAGAGCCGACGCAAGGGAGGGGAGGCGAGGTGGCGAGGAGTGAGCAGGGAGGGAGGGACACTGGGACAAAGGGAGTGAGTGGTGGAGACAAGAGGCCCCGGAAAAGGCCATCTAGGTGGCCTAGTGTGACATTTTTTGGAAAAGGATGAGAGGTGATGCAGGACTGTGCGCAAACCCATCATGTTTATGGCAGAGATTGCTGATGCCTGAAAAATGAGAAAAAGTTATACACCATTTGTCAATTATCAGGTAACAGGCCACCACCTACTGCTATCAACAAAACTAATTTTCAAACTTTCTTTCATTTAAATAAGGCTGTTAAAACACTTCTCATAGCAGAGGCAGGTGGTGCCTCAGCCTCTTTTCGCTTGGCCTAAATGGCGCAACCTGATTCCTATATTCTGTGGCATTTGGAAATATCCCTGATGGTAATATCATTGAGCATGGATTGTAAGGCAATAATGTAGGCAATAACCCAGTGTGGGAGCATTGGAGTTTTTTATTTACCTTAACAACACAGTATTCGATTTATCAAAGCAACAAAATCAGTGCTGTCCTTTAATTGGTGAAGCGCACAAACAACGCGAATCCCTCCAATGAAAAGTCGAAAAACGTCAGCAAGCTGAGGACCTGCTAATAAAATTTAGCGAACGAACAGCGCCCTCTCCAAAAATGAATGAATCAAGTGCGCCAGAATCACTTATTTCTATGGATGCCAAATTGTATTGTTTGGTAAAAATTTCCTGAGATTACAAAAGTAGTGGCTCTTTACAATTCTTTCGTGTGACCGGAGTGGTCAATTCATTTCATTCAAGGCCTTATATTCCATTTCATTGAGACGATTTGCTGATTGGTCTTGATATCAATCTGTAAAGAAGAAGTGAAAACTGGCATAGGTTCATTACACCATAGATCAAGATCAAGGCATCAACATCAGGCCAACTCAAACTGGACAACTAAAAATTAATCATCATTGGATGCTGTTTTTTCAATTGCTTTTAATGATTATCACCTCTGGTAAGTTTGACATGTCAGCTGCTGTGTTCAGTGATGATGTTGGATTTTATGTTCAATTTTCAGGACCTGATAGTGATACAGTGATACTGATCCGTGGTATGCGTGATGCTGGCCTGGCTTCATTGTGAAGATAATCTCAGGCTATGGGGTGCATACTGCATTTTGCGGGCAAAAGGATACATCCTTCTACCTCAGAAGGATTGGGATGTATTCTTTCTTTTCATGGTTCTGTTTTGTGAATTTCTTCAGTTTCCATAGAGTGCAAAAGAGGGAAATGACCTACCTGTAATTTCAAATCTGTCATTGCATCATATTTACTGACAATGTGCTTTTTTCCTGAGAAAGCTGTTGATATATCAACAGCAGTCCTTTTCATTTATATCATTTACAAAAACTTCTATGCTGAATGTGACAATCTACACTCATTATAATGAGTGCACAGATGCAATACCTATAGGTATTGCATCTGTGCAAATCAGGCCCTTTTCTGGCTAAGTTGTTGTGCTCCCAGTCGGAGACAGGGTCTGACATCTGACAGATTAAACAACAACAACTTTTTGCTCTAACAGTTATTATACAGCTGGCTAGCTTGTCAAAATGGGATATAGTGTGTAGGTACTGTGTAGATTAGATATAGATTAGATATAGTGTGTAGGCAATTATGTCTTGGAAATTCTAAACATCCTAGAAAAGACCTGGGCAATGGCCAAAAGGGACAACATCCTAGCACCTAACTACTGAGGCAGCATTATAGTGTGTTATTTGTTTTTTATTATTTCTGTTATCATGTAGTATTAGACTGCCAGTTGGTCTGGCAATATCCCCACTGAAGTAACCTGACCCCACTAAATAACCTCACCATAGATCAACAGATCATCCACCATGAGTCATCTTCCCACTGCCGTGGTGCCCCGACCCTCATTCCGTCATTCCCCGTCACGTGACAAAGCCCTGTTACCTCCCCCGCCCGTTCACGGCGTCTGGGTCAAGTGTAACGGCACCTGTGCGTGCATACCGAGTGGGCAGCGGCCACATGTGCCACCCTGCTCCGGTCCCCCGTCGCCCACCGTTCGTAGTTCCATCCCAACCGTCTGTCCCGTACCGGTCGTATGGCGAACTATAATGCGTGCGCTCAATGTAGAAGAAAACTGGATTTTGTTTATGTGCGTTCCACACTCACCAGGCCTTACCAGCCCCATTCCCTTCCCATCCTTTTCCCGTCTCCCCTTCTCCCCGTTGCGTCCCGCTCCCACCTCCCTCAGTCCCACTTTGCCCCTTTCCACCGCCCTCGGTTCCGCTTCCATCCCGCCCCGCCCCGCCCCGCTCCCACCCCTCAGTCCCGTCCCGTTTCCGCCGCCCCACCCCCTCTCCACCGTTCCTCCCCGTCCCGTCGCGTCCCCCCCCCCCCCCCACCGCCCTCCATCAGCCGACGCCGTGTCGAGACTGTCGCTGGGAGTAGTCGCCGAGCCGGGCCGGTGTCATATGTCGGTCGAGTCAATGATTGGTATTCATTACTGTCTCAGCTTGGTGATTTCGCCGGGTGAGGTGACGTCCTTTGCGTGTTTGGGCTGGGGTGCAATGTTAAATGTTTTTCTGCTTAATTAAGCCATAACCAATAACCATCCATCCCTTGAATCACAGTCAAAATGACGATCGTTCCTATCTGTTGTCACGAAGCTTTCGCTTTTCGCTGTTAGCTGTTCCAGCATGTGTGCGATTTAGATGACCGACTCCCAATAGTGAGGTTAACAAACCCCAGACCATATCCGGTGACCCACATATCTGTCCCGCTATCAGTGTCTTTGAGGTCATTCGATGTGGGCCAGCCTCATCGGCCACGGACCGTATCGCAGTAGCCACTGTTCACTACTCGTTACAAATGAGTCATTCACGCTGAAATTTTCCCTACTTATTTTTTTATACGATAGGAACATCCTCCAAATTAAATTGTGTTGATGGACGATGGGCTGGAAGCCCCCTCCCCTCTTCCATTCCTTGACCCCCCCCCTCCCTTCTCGGCGTCTCACAACTCACCAACTCAAGGTCGCCACCTGTGGGGAGGTCAGAGAAGCATGCTTTTTACAGTATCGTCTGGGATATTTTGTACCGATCGTCCGCCAATGTTTGGATGGCCCACAGCTGCCTGCGTATGACGTTTCTGGAGCTGGCAGATGGCGCAAGTAGGTATGCTCACGTGGTCATAAACATGCTCCACGCTTATGGTTAGATCGGTGACCGTGGTCATGATCATACGCAGATGCATCTCCACATATCTGAGCATGTGTATAAAAGTCAGCTGGTGTTGGGCAGCGATGGACTTACGATTTTACATGTAATTCCGTGCTATGCCATGGTATGTGTCATGGAATGGCTACCGGTCGTCCAATTATCTTTCTGCTGGATGTTCTAACGGTAGCCCGTCCACTAGCATATCCGTTGGCCTGTCCGGGGCCAGTCAGTCAGCCTGTCCATTGGTTCATGTTCAGCAGTCTGTCCGCCGGCTTATCCAGCGCTCTTCCATTGGCCTGTCAAGCGGTCGGTCTGTTGCTGGCCCGTCGGCGTTTCCATTGGTCTTTCCAGGCCGTCGCTCTGGCTTGCTCGTTTCGCTCGTTGGCCGATGCCTCCATGGCACCTGCCGGTCAGTGTCGGCTGCGCTCCACATTCTACCAAACTCGGCCAAATAGGCGGCAAAAACCCACCCCACTTCGTAAAAACTCGCCCCCTGGCCGCCGGGGGCTACGTCTGTGCGCCGACACGTTGAACTAGACGTGACGAGCAACGGTCTCTTATAGGGGCCCAGTGCGGTACAAACGTCCAGTGTCTCCGGAGGACGGGCTGCAAGCGGCGGACGCTGGTGACGTGCTGCGCTACCGCCTCGCTGTCAGTGTGGATCGCTGCGACTTGCGACGCAGCTTCTCAAGACTTTGGGGTGGTTTTTCTAGTCTCAAGTTTCTTTGCGGTTCTGTAGCGTGGACCGTCACGTCTCCAGGCGTCTCCCCTCATCTCCTGCCGTCTCTCCTCGTCTCTGGGCGTCTCTCTCCGTTTCCCGTCGTCTCCAGTCTCCCGGCTCCAGCTGCGGCGATGGACGGGCGTCAGTTCGCCGGCGGTATCGGCGTCACGACGGTGATTGCCGTGCTCAGTGCGGCTGCCATCGGTACCCTACTCAGCGGGTTCGCCGTCACCACCTTCACGGGGGCCACGAACGCGCTTGGTTTCAACGCCAGCACTCTGGTCAGCGACACTAGCGAGCTGTACCAGCGCGTCACCGGCTCTGATGACGACGAGAGCGGCGGTCTGCTGCAGGCGGCGGTGACGCGGCGCGTTCCCGAGAGCGGCGCGCGCCTGCCACGCCGAGCCGTGTGCCTCTCAGAGCGCGTGTCGCCGCAGTCGGCCAACCTGAACCTGGCCTTCAGCGGGGACGGCGCCGGCGCGACCACGGTCGAGGGTCAGCTGCACGGCGCGCCGCTCAGGAACGTCTCCTACCCGATGTTAGTGCTGTCGGCGCTGGAGGGGTGCGGCGGCGTGCTGAAGAGGGCCTCGCACCTGGCGCACCATCCGCTGGACCTGCCCAGTGCGGGTACCGGACTGGTGCGCGAAATTCCCCGCGAACGGTTCAACGGTGCTGTGCTCGACCAGCGGCCTCGCACCGTGTGGCTGCTCTCGGACGGCCGGCCGGTCCCGGACGCCTGCTGCGCCGTTCGGCTGGTGTAACACGTCTAGCGGGTGTACACCCAGTCCGGCTGGTGTAACACACCTGCCCGGTGTAACACTCAGTTCGGTCGGTGTCGGACGTCGTTGGCTCTTGTAGCGCCGTCCGGCTGGTGTAGCACGCAGTCGGGCTGGTGTAGCACGCCTTTGGGATGATGAAGAGTTGTCTACAAAGACAAGTTGTAGAAGAGGTGGAAGCAGTTGGCTGGTGGATCCAGGGGTGCAACTGAGGACAGCAGAAAACGAGGAATGACAGAGACAGCAAGGACGAGGATGACAGAGACAGCAAGGACGAGGAATGACAAAGACAGCGAGGACGCACGACTCAGGGAAGTGAGAAGACGTGGTGCTGACTGCGGGACAGACAGGACTGACTGGATACTGCGGCCGGCAGGGTCTTTGATGGCCGGCAGCGCGAAGCTTAGAGCTCACAGCTCAGTGACTGGACATGGCTGACTCAAAGACTGCGGGCTGGGACACGGCGATCGTGCATTAATTCCGCGAGTTACGAGGACAATTAATTACGAGGAGGATTACGCGACTGACAATGACAATATGACGAGACAAGAAATCGACTGAAGACAAGACTGGTGAAGCGTGCACCGACGTCTGACGGACGATTTGTTACAGATGTGAGAAGAGGTGACGACACAGACTACATTCACAAGACAAGCGACGAAGCGACAAAAATGAGGCTTACTTGTTTGACAGGAGTGACTTGACCGAAGTGACCAAATGACAGCGGAACAGCCGTTGACCATAGACACGACAAAGACTGTACACAGCACTGAAGCAGACTGGTGATGACAGCCCTTGGGTGCATTTGACTCAGACTAAAGGCTTCTCTGTAAGATTGGAGAAGTGAAGACTTAGACGCGGATGTAGACTGAAGGCTACGAGGGACAAAACGCAGACGGTGACCTGACTGGAGAAACGCTATCTCAGACGGCGAGACCTAGGGGGCGAAGACTGAGACGAAGTAGCAGACATTCCTTGACGAAGACGACTGACGAAGACGCCCACTGTACGACAAACGACGAACTGACAAACGACCAGGGACATGGCCGTGCTGAATCCGACGACGACTGACTGACTGACAACCGTTGTGGGCGCTGGGATGCTATCGGTGCCGAAGCGCTCTCCCATCCAGGACACAGTCCAAGTCGGTGAGCCCGACCGGTCACCTTTCGGCGCTTCCCGAGCTGTTCCGGCCGCCACTGTCCGGGCAATGGGCACATGGAGCGCCCACTTTTTCACGGCCGCGTGCCTTCGGAGACATCGGAAGGCGATCCGATCGTGAAAAACTGGCCCGGCGAGGACCTGCTGGCAGCGGACGGTAACTCGAACTAGGCCAGACATTGCCGTGGACTGCCGACTGAAAAACTGGCGATGCTGGTGAAACTCGTCCGGAAATGCTGGGCGGTGACGACTCATTCTGAAACGTGAACTGATTAACGGGGTTAGCGGATGAAAAACTGACGGTGTGCTCCATCGAGACTAGTATGGAAATTGGAGAAACATCCATGCATGTTTCCGGGGACTGACTGACTGACGCGTTTGACGATGTTAATGACGATGCTTTGTGTTCGTTTTCTCTTACATCCTGGAACTTATCCTGAGTTTGTTTGAGTGTCGCTGTCATGCTGATTTAGGGCTCCAGTACTTTGTGGTACAACTGTTGTACAAATGGTGTAAATGATGGCACATTCACCGGGTGTGGTTATTTATTCTGAACTGGAAAATGGACCCAATAGCTACGGATCCAATAGCTGACCTTTGCTTACGTTTAATTGGAGACCTTTCGTTGCTTCTACATTACTACGATGTTTTCTCTTCCTTTTCAAGTTCATGCTTCATATAACAGATAAATACATATTTATTATTTATTTATTTAGGATCGCACCGTGCCTGATGAGTTTCACGATCTGAATGCAATGCGTTGCTCGAGCCTTTTTCATTGTTTTCTCTTTCTTCTGTTTTCCTTGTTTTGTTTTTGTTTTATTGTTTGCGGTGTGCGTAAATGCTTCTGCGTTCTTATTTGATGGAGTTGTTTCGCGCCACTCGGACATTGTTACATTTTTGTTACTAGTTTGTTGTTAGTTTGTTTCCTTATAATCAAGTTGACGGATTTGCTCAATAAACAGACGTTCAGTGTTGGATCAATTTGATATTTAGCAACGACGACGGTGACATACTCGCTATTGAGAGATATGAAATGATTGATTGTTATGAGACTTGTGACAATCAAATATCAATCCATTTTCGCTGGTTACGGATGCAGTCACGGTAAAACAATTTTTATTGAAGCCTCCTCCACAACACTGGCGATCGATATTGAAACAATTTCTTTTTTCACGATAAGCTTGATAACTTATAAAACGGTGATAGACCTACATTCTGCTTCGTACCTATCACAAGTAAGCGTACAGTGAGTTTGCATTTGGGAAACATAAGATCTCCTTTTCGAGCCGTCTTGGTGTAGTTCTTTTTTACACCAATAATTGCAATCTCACGACCGATTTACAATGGGTTTCCCCTTTTCACTGTCCCGCTAGATCGTTCCCACATGTCAGCGATGGGCAATGCCAACGTAGCTAGGATAGGGGAGGCGTCAGGCGTGCATGTTCTCTGCACCGCTCGGTCTCTGAAGCCACGTGCTGGATTTGATCTAGGTGAGGAGAAGCCTCGTCAAGAGAGCCGTCTTTGTCCGGCATGACGTGCTCGTGAGTCAGCGTGCTTGTGTGAGGTGTCCAGTTCCGTGTAATCTTCACAGAACGACCTGTCGTTACGTGGGTTCACCAGTTCACCACTCCATGATTGGTTCTGGTGCTCGTGTCTTTTGTGCGTTTCCCGTGTCTCTTGTGCGTTACGTTTCCCATTTATCAGTTCACAGTTCCGGCACGACTGGCACTAAGGTGATGCAGTCGCTGGTTCTTCCGTCTATCGCTTATTTGACCATCCGGCCGACCGTGGACCGTGTCTACGGTCCACTTCCGATATTTACTTTCATATCACATGATGAGCTTTCACAACCAGTCCTGAAGGGGCACTCATACAGTCGGTATGTGCTTTACGCTGAGACATTTCACGTGTCTTATTTTATTTGCACTGACGCATCCGAGGGCGCTGTAACAGGAAACAGAAAACGTCAACAACACTCTTCCGCTTCCGCTTCTTCTTCCGCTGCATTGCTCAATGTTTATATTATAACGTTATCAATCAGGTGTTTAATGTCTGTTCCCATTTTCCTTGGATTTGTCAGAGAACCAGGACAAGCTCTGGGATCTGGATGGGCTCGAGCCCTCTCCCCCTCCCCTCCCCTCCCCTCCCTCCCTCCCACCTTTGCTCTCCCGGGTATCTGTTTCGCCCTTCGTCCGCTGCGAGTCGGCGGCGCTAGTGTGGCCACTCTCCGCTCGGCACCATATGCGCTGTGCCGTCTGTGTTACGTTCCGTGTCGAGCTGAGCTGAGCTGAGCTGCGCGGCTCCGAGCTGCGCAGTTGGCCCGTGCCTCCTGGGAATCTGAGCTCCATAACCTTGGTTGGAGCGGGCACACGAAACTGGACTCCGACCAGCGGGGAGTGAGGAGAGATTCAGTGCGCCGCGTCGCGGTGGCGCTTGTTACGCTGTGTGTTCTGTGACGGTGTAACGGACCTGTGACGCCGCTGAGGCACCTGAGTGGCGCAGTAACACGTCACGGGATGTCGGTGCCGTGTTTTGGCGTCTCGTGACGGTGTTGTCACTGAGTGACGTTTGGTAGCAGTGCAGCGCCCGGCAGGTGTGCCTCTGCGAGAGTCTTACGACATCATTTCGAGTGACTCAGTGATTAGGCGTCACCTGTGTCACATTCCGTGTCACTGGTGTCAGCAACTCCGTATTATTGGTGTCAATCGGTGTCACCCGTGTCGGTGATCCGCGTCGCCGGCGTCAGAGTCCCGTAGTATCGTTACCTCGATCGGCTCACCTCCGTTACCACAAACGGTGGCTGACTCTGTGCCGGCCTCTCGCCTTCGATCGACCGATCGACCGATCGAACGGTGTGACCCCGACCGGCCAAGTGTTCTGGCGTTCGCACGCCAGCATTGAACCAGCTACCCTTCCGAGTAAGTGCACCTGCAGCTGTGGCTTTCTCTGCCACATTTTCAGAGTACCAGTTGGACGGATCGACCTGTCGCAGGTCTTGAAGGTGTTCTCCCTGTTCTGTCCTATTGGCATTCAGTGGTCTTTTCTACCCGAGGATTTTCGATTGACCAGCCGTCTATGTATTCGACACATGCCTACTTGTAAGGCACAAACATGAGTGAAACAGGCATGTATGTAAGGGCGGGTTGTGATGCTCTGGTTTCACCGCCTTCCCCTGTGTTGGAATGCCGCTATGGTTTGTTCCGGGCTGAATGCACCAACTCACTGTGATTCTGACCCGCAGCCGGTTTTTAGAGCAGCCGGTTTTTATATTATGACCGCCTGTCTATAGTCAGTGAGAGCCAACCCTGGCGAGGGACTGCCGGCAGAGCAGCTATTACTCGTCCATTAGTGCTGGCTAGTGAGGTCGCTCGTCCCTTTGTTTGGTTCCAACCACCAGCCAGCCGCAGGGTGGCTGGTGGGTGCACTGCTGTGGTCTCTTTATAACCCTTTCTGCGGTCCGGAATGAGCGCACTTTGCCCCAGCTCTGCATTTTATGGTCCCCCTCCCTCTCATTGTCCAGTCACCAGTGTCCACTGCTCAGCCCGGTCACTCGCCCCTGTCTCCAGTCATATCACATTACACGCATTCGTGGTGCTTCGTGATCCCAGTGAGCGGCCGATGACCGGGAGGGGGGGGGGGGGACAGGGGCTGACAGCCGGCGTGACAGGTGTCGGATAATAGCGGGTGTTGACAGCTGTGTTGCCCCGGGCCGGCCGCCCAAATTCCCGAGACAAATTGGTGTTTGTATCGTGTGATGAAGCGTAAGGAAGCGACGGAGGGTGATATCGATTTCAAGGAGCTGCCGCATTTTTTTTTTTTTTTTGATGAGCAATGTGTTATATTATTATTTTTTAGTTGAATTGTACAAGTAGATATATTTTAGCGACTTGCAAGTTTATTTTTCTTCCCATTTCTATTGCAAACACATTGACGACTGTCATCCGTATTGTATAATTTGCAAACAACCTAAGCCATCTTCCTTTACTGACCCACTATTTGTTTACCCACCAAAGCCGTCTGTCTCCGTCACAGACCTAACAGCCGTCTCTCTCCACTACAGACGCTGCTAGCGCCGCTGGCCCGATGACCGCGGTATGACACCGCGGGTGGGTGCCTGCGCCGCCATGACCGATGCCGTGGAGACGGCGGCGGCGGCAGAGGAAGAGGACCCGTCCTCGCCCTCGCCGGAAGAGGACCCGTCCTCGCCACCGCCGCTGAAAGAATGGGCGCCGCTGAACCACCTGATGCTTCAGGTGCCGGCCAAGTACCAGGTATGTAGTGGGAAAGAACTGTTGCAACACTTGTGGATGTGGATGGGGCGCTGATGACCTGAACAATCCGGGCGCCCCCCCCCCCAAAAAAAAAACAAACAAACAAATAATCATCACACCTGTGGACGATGCACAATGCACGTATCAGTTGTATTACAGTTTCAATCAGTGTCACCCGCGAGAAAATATTGAGGTGATATTTTGCTGTATCGAGGGAACATTACTTTTTCGGTCGGAGCGGACACCTACCAAGGCGTGCTGTAGTCAACGTTTTATTGACTTGTGTCGTATTGAGGTGACTTAAAACTGTTGTGAAGTACTCAGACGCCGCTATTCCCATTCCAAATTCCCAGCCACCGCAGTGATAACGACAGCCCATCTGGCCCTCTTTCACCCGCGTCTGTCTCCCGTCCGCGGTTACCTTTTGGGCGCTGCCGTTATCTCCATCGCCGGACCATGTGCGCTGTCTCTGTGTCCGTAGTGTAAACACTGCCAGTGCTGTGTCACCACCGGCGGGACACGGGTTCTGGTATTCTGGACACATCCGGTGTGGCCATGACTGGGGATGAGATGATGTCTGCTCTCGAGGCTTGGTCGTCCCCGTTGATGTCTTGTATCTGTGCCTGATTCTAAACATTGTCGCCGAGTTTGATAACACGGGATAAAAATGTCATCGTATAAGAGTTCATTAGCTCTGTTTAGTTTTATCAACGATCATAAAGTCGTTGAAATGTAATTACTGCATATTTTTCGTGAAGGCTTAATCATGTCTGTAGTACCTAGTCTGTGGATTATAATTTGCCGATGGGATATTTCTTTTTTTTTACTAAATTCGACGTCTCGGTTTTGTCATTGAGTCATGTTTGCATGCCAGCATCTGTCCCTACCCAGGCCGCTGTCTTTGCCTTTTGTCCTGCCGCTGCTGTCCCCGCCGCTGTCCGGTTGTCCCCCGTCTGGAGAATCCCCGTGTTCCTGATATCCATCCAGTCTTCCCGCCTAGCTGGGAAGGCCGGCTGGTCTGTGGTTGATGACGATTGACGTCACAGACCATCTGATTGACGGCTGGCGTGCCGCTGCAGCGCAAAACGGGGGCGTGATGACGAAATCAGCTGATGAAATATTCACACTTTTCTTAGAGTTGTTATGCCATAGTATCCATAATTAATTTTCAATATTTTTTTTTCTTTATGCTATCTTGCGATTGTGCTGCTGGTGATGCACATGGTTGGGATGACAATGTGATCTATCCTTGCGAGTTCTGTTTGCATTGTTTCTCTGAGTTCGTACAGAGTCAGCTGCTGACGTTATGTGTCCCTGTCCCCATACAGAACCTGGTGGTGACCGGGGATCTACGCTCTGCAGCCGACGTGTCCCTACTGAACTGATGTGATTGTTTCTCTGTCCCCTACAGAACCTGCTGGTGACCGGTAAATTGCATCTGACCCGTGTGTCTCTGTACAGAACCTGCTGGTGACGGGGGATCTGCATCTGACCTCTGTGTCCGCCGTGGACGAGCACATCCTGCTCGGCACCAACACGGGCTCCGTGTACTGGTACGACACCGTCGGGTGTACCATGCAGCGGTACCGCGCCGAGGTGAGTACTGAGGAGTACAGACGGTACAGTAACACGGGTACCTTGTACTGGTACGACACCGTCGGCTGTACCATGCAGCGGTACCGCGCCGAGGTGAGTACAGAGTACTGGGTTCAGAGGCCAGAGGGTACTGCACAGTGACACCGTCGGCTGTACCATGCAGCGGTACCGCGCCGAGGTGAGTACAGTGTACCGAGTACAGACGGTACCATGCCGTGGTACGACACCGTCGGCTGTAGTATGCATTGGTACCATGCAGAGGTGAGTACAGAGTACAGACGGTACACCAACTGGGCCCACCCTGTCAATACAATCGCGCCCAAATATTGACAAGCAATTAAGACGCGTTCGAACAGTCAATAATAGGTTCTTTAGCCCTTACTGCACTTACTGTTCATATAATATCTTCATATATGACTAAATGAGCTGTTTCAGGAACCTACTTTCCTTGTCTGCATGCGCTGCACACCATTGTAATCTTATGTAACCTAAACCTCTCTAAATGTTTGGTCTCAACTCGTTCGTTTTACGTCTGGTCACTGGCTCTTTGTTAGGCTCTACCAGCATCCGGTACTGAAACGTTATCACCCTTCCCTCTCGTGGACTTCAAACCATATCGACAGACCGACACACACGTAAGGCCCTCGCGTGCGCATTAGTCTTTCCATCTGTTGAACCTCAACCTGAAGCGATGGAGCGGCACTTACATAAGGCAGTCGCGTGTGCATCAGTAATGCTCTCAATTCCCGATCGACTGCGCAGCGCTGGACGTCCGCATTTGTTGAGCCTGGCCCGAACGGGGGGTGGTGAGGTTTTTGTTCGTGTGGCGAGGGCCGGGACCGGGTTACAAAGTGGCCGCCTCCGGCACGTGGCGGATGTCTGTGACCTGGTTCGGAAGCGAACGTCGAGTGCTTTGGCTGGAATTGCCTTGTCTGTTACTGATTAAGACACTAGTGTGCTTTGGTGATTTGGTGCGTATGATAGCCATGTTAAATTGTCAAAATTGGAAAATTGGGAGCGCTGTACGAACATGGAACCACAATCTATATCGACTATGTTTTCACGGTTTCAAGGCTTGATGGATGAGACTGTCAAACGCGCTAAGAGCATTGTTGACTATCGGTGCGGCGGGCGCACAACGACCTTGTTTACCGTGACCGTTATAAAAGGGTCGGCGACCACTTAACTGAATAAGAACGGTGTACGAGTGTCGTCGGTCTGTCGCGGTCGTCAACCGCTTGTCCGCAGCTGTTGGTAGATCGGTTTGGTGTGATGGGAGACGAGGGCCAGGCTGTACTACAGTCATGGTAGAGATAAAATGACAGTTCTCTCGTATCTGGTAGAGAGATGGGGAGGCCATTCTCCAACTCGGCTCTTTCGGTGTACTTTAGTACCTAGCGCTGCTGTCGAACGATTTTTTTCATGGTCGTGGATGGAACCTTGGCGACTGTTTTGTCGATTTTCCGCACGTCACGCTGTTGGGGCGGCAAATACTTGTCGAGAATGCGTGGTGACTTTTAGATCCATGCTCCGTTTATATTGTCACGAGGTGACCTTAAACGCAGATGTGATCCGACCTTCACAGTCTTCTGCCGTCGTAGTGATATGCGAAAATCATGAACTTGCCCGTCATCGAATGACCTTTAGTGAGCACACGTGTGCGGCTGAACTGGCTTCTTCTCACTATCCGTCTTTGTAGCAAGCAAACATTTATTGATGTGACCTTCCTGGGACCCCTGGTAACTTAAGCTGACCCCTGTTAGATTTTTGTGTAACCCTGCGGACCTCTCCTCACCTCTGGTGTCCCCTCCCGCAGGGTCAGCAGTCGATCGTGTGCCGGGTCAGCGCCGTAACTGTCTGACCCCCACTGACCCCCATTGACCCCTGCTGACCTTCCCCGCAGGGTCAGCAGTCTGCCGTATGCCGGGTCAGCGCCGTCACCTCGGTGGACCACCTGCTGGCGGCCGGACACCGGTCTGGCGACATCAGCGTGTTCCTGGTACCACGGCTGGCGCGGGGAGATGTGCCTGACTACGTACGAATCACTGAGAGCAACATCAAAAAGGTACGGACGTATCACAGACAGAGCAACATAAAAAAGGTACGGATATAGCCCTGGGCAACACCAACAGGTAGGGACAATACAGGGGACAATTACATCAAAAAGGTACGGATATAGCCCAGAACAGCGTCAATAGGTAGGGACAATGCAGAGAACAACGTCAAAATGGTACGGGCAATGCCGAGAGCAACATCAAAATGATATAGGCAGCGCCGAGAATAACATCGAAAAGGTACGGAGTATACCGAGAGCAACATACAAAAGTAAGAGGAACGCCAAAACCAAAAGCCAAAAAAGGTATACATTTGGAGCTGTGGACCCCGACTCTCACCCCTTGCACTGTTTGACTCTCCACAATTTCCTGACAGGCTCCCTCCCCTACAAAAGTCTGACTCACCCCTCCCCCCGCTCCGTCCGGCAGAGCCTCCAGTTCCGTGTGGACGCGGGCCACCGGGCGCCGATCAGCGCTCTGGCCTGGAGCCGTAACGCAGCGCGTCTCTTCAGCGGAGACCGCGAGGGCACCGTGGCGGTCTCTGAGATCGACTATGTCACCGTACGTAAGGGGGAAGAGGGGATTAGGGTCGGATGGGATTGGTGTTTGGAAGTGTGGCTAGTCTGGCTTGCTGAAGCTGGCAGGATTATGCAAGTTGTGTGCAATTTTTAGAGAAATATTATTGTGGCAAAAGCAGAAAGCATTATTTTTTTTGGTTCTCATCTGTGTCCTCTGTAAATGTCCCATAACCATTGTCCGTTACCAGTTCCAAGTCACCGCCAGGATATGCTGTGGTGCCAGTGGTGCTCCCCTGATGTATGATCTGCGGCCCTATCCCATCACCACACCCGCCCTGTCCGTCACCAGGAGACGGTGTGCTGCCGCGTGGTGGTGCACGAGCCGACGCCGGTGGTCCAGCTGCAGTACAGCCGACAGACCCTGCTGGTGGCCAGTCGGGGCCGCTGCTGCCTGCTGACGTGGCCGGGCCCGGCCGGCGCGGAGCCGCAGCCGCGCCAGGTCGGCACCAAACCCCGGAAAAGGTCAGCTGAGGGGGAGGGAGACGGAGATGTGACGTGGTGGGAATGGGCTAGTGTGGGACGAGAGAAATAATGTCTGCTGAATATGGTCACAACTGCTAACTGATCACACTTTCGGTTACACTTTTCACAGCCCAGATATCGTAGGGCTATATAGTGTTCTGTGTTTTTTTACTTATAGGCCGTGTGTAGTGTGTTGTCGAAAAGTTTCGTAACGTTGCCAGCATCCATCGATTTTTTTTTCTAGTAGCGTTGCCTTTTGGACGTGAACATCTAACCAGTTAACCGTATTTCCGGGTCCTGGAAGGCCTGAGATCTGTCCTGTCCCTCTGCCGTGTCTGAGGAGCTCCCGTCCTCTGTTCCACAGCCCTGCCGACCTGGGCGCCTGTTTTCTGGAGTCGTATGGAGGGGAGATGACCGTCCTGGCCGCCCGGCCCTCGCTCAAAGTGGTGACCGCCGACCTGACAGGTCAGGTCAGCGCCACCGTCTCACTCAAGGTCAGTACAGGTCAGATGACGGCAGGGTCGCTACGAGTCAGTTCAGGGAAAAGGTGAGGCCGGGTGTTTCTTTTTTAACGTTTTTGAGAAACTTGAATTCCATCTTCTGTAAAAACCTAGACGAAACATGATATCTTGGAGCTCTGCAACGTGATGCCTACTCTCGATGGACTCTTTGACATCTGCTGGAAACTCATATTAATATTTTTAAGTAAGAAATTAGGATCGATAGCTACACGCATTGTCGTACGTTATTTATTTACCCTTCCAGCGGCTGATCTGTCGTCTCTCTCGCCCCAGCCGACGCTGGAGACGGCCGGCTCTGTGCCGCTGCTGTTCCCCGTGGCCGCCCCGACCTCCGAGCCCAGTCCCGGCCGACTGGCGCCCCTCTGGCCGGGCGCCGTGGCCCTGTATGACAACAGGACGCTGCTGGTGGTCGACGTCGTACGGTAGGTAGACGGGAGATTTGTCATATGGCGCGTCTGCACGGGCTGCTGGATGTGTTGCGTTTTATGACGTAGCTCAGACATTCGATAGTTGATGCTTGTCGCCGGACCTTGTTCAGGACTAGGTATATACAACTATCGGTCTCCCGTACCCCCGCGCCGCCCGCAGCTGGTCGTGCAAGTCGTCCACTGCGCCAGCGACAGGGTGGGAGTCGCCGGGTGGGAGATTGTATGTTACTGCGACATTGGACTGCTGCGACTGGAATGGACTAGTATGTTTATAACTGCACACCAATACGTGGCTCTTGGATTGCACCGTATGCCAACAGCCGTGCTCTGTTTACGGCGACTAACGTGTGCTTTCTTTCTGCCATCTCATATTCAGCTGGGAGATAGTGTGGCGCTGCGACCACCTGCCCGCCATTCTGGATCTGACCGTCTCCGGTGAGGCCGTGTTCGTGCTGTGCTCTGCCCGCCGCCTGATCAGACTCTCTCAGACTCCGGACAACCACCCGGCTGTCTGTGGTGAGTAAACTGCGAACAACTATCGGACGTTAACTCTTTGACACTCATCTGGTAGAAAATTAACTCCGAACAGCCACCAGACAGTCTGCAATTAATTGTCATACAATGGTGTCTTCTGGTCTGCTTCAGCCTGCTGGTATTCCCAATAACCCAGGCGTTTGTATTTATATGCGACTATTCTCATGCCTGGGTGTTGTACCGCCAAACACTTACACTCCCACCAGCGCTTCTCTCACCGTCAATTGTCTCACCCCTCCACAGACAACATGCGTGTGGCGAACGGCGACCTCAGTTTCGACGAGGTGATGCAGGAGCTGAAGTCGTCGGTGCCGGTGAACCAGGTGAAGACGCTGCTGTCCAGCGTCCACGGCCAGCTCGGCCGGTCCGGGCTCCTAGACGCCTTCACTAGTCAGAAAGGTGAGTGGGTGTGGACGAAAGGGATAAGGATGAGGGATGGGGATGTTTTATCCTCGGGGACGTGACCAGGACGGTGTCGAGAGTGGCGGGTCTATGGGAAGGAGGCATTTGTGATCAGAAATCTACCGTGTGGTTTGCAGTTCAGAGATGGCTTTCCAATTCTTTGACTATGGCTATTGAGATTGACTCTTCACTCTTCCCTTTCTCCTTTCAGAGGCGGTCTCATCACTCACCTCCCGCGTCAGCTCGCTGGTTGCCGGCCGGCTCGGCGCGGCAGTCTCCAGGGAGCGACTGGGGAGCGCTCCGGCCGGCCGGGTCCCGCTCAGAGCCGCCACATCGTCACCAGATGTTCGCGACCCGGCCGACCGCGCTGAGGAGGTATCCTCACCCCTGACAGACACAGCCAGTGTAGTCTCAGCGGGCGCTGATGGTGCCGCCGCGTCCGCTGCTGCTGCTGCTGTGGATGACGGGCCCATAGCGCGTCAGCTCCGGCCGCGTCGCCGGCCCGGCAGACGGCGAGTCGGTCGACCCAGTAGTGGCGACGCCAGGAGCCTGGAGACGGTCTCACTCGGAGGGGAGAGAGTCGTTACTCCCGAGACTCCGACGGCGATGACGACGTCGGAAGTGGTGGAGACGGAGGCAGGTTCACGACGTGGTTCTGGTGCCGAGGAGAGAGTGGCCAGTGAGGTGGGGGCGGGAGAAGAGGAGAGAGTGAGGACAGGTGTCGATCAGTCGGTGGGTGATAAAGTGCCGTCAGAGGCCTCAGAAAGGACTACAGCCGTGCCGCCACGGCCGGACTCTGTAGGGGGCAGCAGTGGTGGACCGGTAACTCCAGTGGGGCCGCTCGACTTTACGCAGTTCTACCCGCACGAGGTGCGGCCTCGCCTGCAGAGGACCGACTCAGAACTAGAGGAGGAGAGAAAGGACAAGGAGCGGCGGCTGGCGGCGCTGTTAGGTCTGGAGGAGCTCGCTGCGCCGCACCCTCCCCCACCTCCCCCGCCTCCCCCGCCGCCTCCAGTGGCTTCTGAGGGCTCGTCAGGGACTCCGTCCCCTCCAACAGAGGAGCTACGAGGGGATCTGTCCACTCCAGAAGGACAGACGCGACTGTCGTCCTGGATGGGCGGTGGTCCGCTGTACGGAGAGGCTTCACAAACCCCAGAGACGCAGCAGAAGCCGGAACCGGAGACTGAACCGGAGCCGGAGCCCAGCTACCTCAGTCTGTTTCCGCTCAACAAGAAACGGAGCTCCTCTCCGCCACCGCCGCGGCATCCGATCGCTGATAGTGAGACGGGTGAACCGTTGCGACACGTGGTGGAGGTGCAGCATCCAGAGGACACCCCACAGCGGCCACGGGCACCCGCGAGTACCCCTTCTGCACCCTCGAACACCCCACGAGTACCCACAAGCACCCCACCAGTACCCATTGGCACCTCCACCCCTCGACCGGCCCGGCCAACAGACCTGGAGGTAGCCACAGAGGCGACTGAGGACTCTGAGCCGACAGCCGCGGACTGGCGACCCTGGGAGCGGCACTCAGCTCCCTGTTACGTGATGACTCTCGCTGCCTGTGCACGATACGCGGTTATCACCGACGCGGAATGCCGAGTATTCTGGGCTCCCGCCGCCGCCCCGATCCCCGTCTGGGAGAGACTCGACTACTCAGCCTGCCAGGTGGCTGTGTCCTGGGACGGCCGGCGTGTGTGGAGACTGGACGCCAATGGCGCGGCCTACTCGCTGGCTGACCCGGAGCCGGGCAGGCCGACCGGCACGCAGTGGGTCAGAGCGGCGAGTGATGTGCTGCAGCTGGCGGCAGATGCCACGGCAGTGTGGTATATCAAGGTGAGAATGTAGATCACGGGCGTCCTGCAGTTATTCGCTTGTTTTGATCGTCACAAGATTGCTATGAAATGAGGTTCTTTTTCTTTGATTTTTTGGCAAGTGATTTCTTTCAGATTTTTTTTTTTCGTAGGTTACCAATTCAAACCTGTAATGATGTACCTATCATCGATGTATACATTTTGTTTTCCCTTTTCCCTCCCCTGCCTCATGACAGTTCCATCCGGCTCAACTGACCCTCTCCCTTCCCCGGGCAGCGCGGCGGCCGTCTGTACGTACAGCGGGACCTGTCGGCCCACCGATGTGCCTCCTCTGAACTATCGGTGGACACCCCCGGCCCGATCATCCACGTCACGGCGAGAGATGGAGTCGTCTGGGCCGTCACCGATAAAGGTGTGTGCTGGAAGGGATGGAATTGGGGGATGGGTGGGATTAGGGATGGGATGAGATTTATGGCATAAGGCTAGATGGGGTTGGCTGGAAGAACACGGCATCGGACGGCGGACCCTTACATGACAATCATGTTCCCTAAAAGTCCGTCATAGCGACTTATGAACGGATTTCTAACTTGAGTCTCACCATGGTCCCGTAATTTCAGGCTGCCGGCACATCTGTCTTGCCTCGCTACCCTTCATCTGAATAGAGCGATCTGACAGTCACCCTTTCCACTCTACCTCCCCACCATCTAACACCTTCCCTTTCCCCTCTCTCCACTCTCAGGTAACGTTCTCTGGCGCGTTGGCGTCAGCCGCGCCCAGCTGGCCGGCTACTCGTGGGAGCCGCTGACGCTGGAGTCGCTGAAGGCGCGCGCTGTGTTCCTGACGGCTGGCGAGCTCGGCTGGCTGGTGGACGATAGGGGACGGCTGCATGTGACTAGTGGAGTGTCGGCCAGCCTGCCGCGGGGCATGGACAGCGTGTGGAGACGGGTGAGTAATGGGGAAGGGGTAGTCCACTTGGGACGATGGAATGGTGGGAAGGTAGGAGGTAATGGTGATAGCATAGCAGCGAACACCGTTGAGTCAGCGACAGATATGTAACTTCTGGTGTATTAAAGCGACGGGACTGAAATTATTGGAGTTAGCTGCCCACTACACATGTTGCTGATCTTCCCTGACAATGTGCGGCAGGTAAGTATCTGATGGATATAGTAACTTTTCAGAAGGGCATTTTACGAGAGAGCGTAGTTCGAGTGCGTGCCTAACCCTACGCCGGTGCTACCCCAGGTGCTGGCCGAGCGCAGTAGCAGTTGGATTAGCGGCCAACAGGTGGCGGTGATGTCGCCCGGCGCCGCGCTCCGTCCCAGTCTGGCCGTGGAGGGCGCCGTGGCCTGGCTGGCCGACCCCGGCGTCATGAGCGTCATGACGTGCCGCCACCACATCATCGGTGAGTGCTGATAATGCGATGTTTGAATTACCTCCCATTTCAATGGAGCAATTCTATGTGCACGCAATCATTGCACGGTGACGGGGGAGGGGTTCAACGCATTTCCTATCAAAGTTATGGAGCGAAGTTGACGCCTTTTGGGGGTCAGTTTATACTTTCGCAGGCCTTGGGGGGTTACAGCCTCGTAACCCCATCCCATGGGGTCCACCCAGGTCCACCTCTGTATTGACTGTTGTGTCTGCATGACTGACCCTACGGTGCCACCCTGTATTGACCTCTATAACCTCTGTTCGCGGCAGCGGTGCGCTGGGAGCAGTTTGTACCGCGCGGCCCGCGCCAGGAGTGGTCCGAGATTCACGCCGACGGCCTGTACCAGCGCAGGGGCCAGCTGTGGGCCCTCAGCGGCCGGGGGCAGCTGTACGGAGGGCATGGACACGACGGAGACCTTCAGGTAAGGAAGGAAGGGGGGGAGGGAGTTGGCACTGGCGAATGGTACTGGCGAGTGCTTATGGCATCGCTGTGGCCGCTGGTTGTGGCAGATAGTAGCCTGGATCCCTCTCACACCATGCCATATGTCGGTCTGGATTAGTTGCCAGCCGATCATCCCATTTGAGCCGATCCCATAGTTTGTTCCATATGCCAGTCGGTTTCATATGACTCGTTCCCATATTTTACCATTGGGTCGCTGACACACCGGTGTACCTCTGACAGCTGGTGCCTCTGCCGGAGCGCAACTGCTCTGTGGCCTGCGTGTCGGCGGCCCCGGGCGCCCTTTGGCTGCTGACCGCTGCCGGCGCCGTGTACGTCAGGGAGGGTATGGAACAGACGGCCACCGGCAACGACTGGGTTCAACTCGACCTCGTTCAGATGGGTGAGCGAGTGAACGGGACCGGGGGCGTGGTCTGGTGAGAGGGACAGTTGGGTTCCAGAGGGATACATGGGGAGTTGCCTCATTTCATCATTGGGGAGTAGTCATATTTGTCCTGATGCGTATATCACTCTATCATGCTGTTTTTTTTTTTTACTTAGCAAGTTCGTGAAACAGTGCCTGCCTGCATAACTAAGTACATGACTTTGCTTATTTTCTTGACGTCGGAAGTATGAAATCATGGTTATCAATTACGCTACTCCTGAGACCCTACCCACGTTTACTCCTGTTCTTCACGTTTTCCTACTCCTGTGCTTTTTGACGTCCTGGCGCGCTCAGAATGACAGGTTTCAGTCCCTGTCTGCTCCATCCCCTCACCTACCCCTCTCTGACCCCCGCCCCTCTCTCCGCCAGACGGCTGCCGGTTGGTCCATCTCTCGGTGGGCGCCCAGTCCGTGTGGGCCTGCGACGCCGCCGGCCGTGTACTGGTGCGTCTCGGACCGACGGTGGCCCGACGGTCGGCGGCCAGCCTCCAACCCGCCTGGGTCTCCATTGACCGACCGGCGGGGGTTCGCTTCGTGATGGTCAGTGGGGGTTTGGGAGACGGGATTCGGGAGGATGAGGGTGAATGTGAGGGTGAGGGTGAGGGTGAGGGTGAGGGTGAGGGTGAAGGTGAGGGAAAAAGGAAGCGAAACAGGGAAGGAATGAACGAAGGGAAGAAACTAGGAAGAAGCATGGGAGCGAGGGAGGAATGGATGTGACTGCATGGTTAGGTTTGGCGGCGGGTACAGCCGGCTGCAGACTGGCTGCAATGGGTTGGCTGCAATGGGTTCGCGTTTGTGAAGCTGTGTTTGTTTCAGGCTCTTTCAGGTCGACACGGGTTCGGCCGCCACTCCCCCGTCGTCTTTAACCATCACCCAGGGGCATCCCTCACCAGCATCAGGGTTCACTACACCCACCGTTCGCCGTCCCTGAGTAGTTCCCACGGTGACCGCCAGGTGTTCGCCAGCTGTATGTGGGAGGAGCCGGACGACTCGCCACCCGACTCGCCGGACTCTGTCGCTGATGACAGTGACCCCGAGTTAGAAGCAGCCACGGTCTGTGGATGAGCGTTTGTCCGTTTCCGTCCGTCCGGCCGTCTCGTCTCCTTCTGTCCGTCTCCGCCTTTACGGGTGTCACTGTTCGCTCGTCTTCCGTCTCTGCCGTTCGTCGTTTCTCGATCGTCCGTCTCGGTGTCTCTCGTGCGTCTCCATCTGTCCGGTCGTCTCCTATCTGTCTCGTCGTTTCCGTCTATCCTCCACCGATTTATGGTCGTCCGTTTCTTCCCCTTCTCTGGTCGCCAGCCGATCATTGGTGTGATCGTCAGCCACTCTAACTATTCTGCCATCTCCTTTCTGTCCCGTCCGTGGCGGAACAGAGTGGTTCCCGTCTACTGTCCTGGCTATGACCTTTCGTCGTTAGGCTCAATCGCGACAGCCCCCGGCTTTGCCTCCGACCATTCGTATGGGATGGCTGTCCGCGCGTAACATGTACTTATACCATGTGCTGACCCTATTGAAACGTATGCTGGTCACTGCGCAGCCCGAGTCAATCGCGAGTAGAATAGTGCATAGACGTGACGTACATCAGCGAGCCACAAGACAGATAGATATGCTACATGTGCCCAGAATCAAATCGGAGTCCGGGAGGAGACGATTCCTCTTTACCGCCGTGACAGCTTTTAATAGCCTACCACCGGCGATGTGTGACCTGAACCTGCGCGCGTTCAAGGCAGAGTTGCGCCGGCACTTGTTGCGACAACAGGCGGCCGACCGTTAGCAATACTTCATGACGACACGTTTGTGAGAGAGTGACTGCGAACGAATGTCTGTATGTGTGCGTGCGTGCGTATGTTTTTCCCACGACACCCATCATTTTATATTGCGACCCAGGTTCAGGAATAGCCATTTTTGTGGAATGAGCCTACGATGTCAAATAAATAAATAAATAAATAAGTATGTAGTATTCAGTGCCAATGGTTTACAGAAGCTTTTTAAGTTAGTCGGTCCTGTTTTCAGTCTATCTTGGTCTATTCGTGGATCGCATCTGACTTCGTCTATCGGTTGTGGCACAATTCGCTGGTGGTTCCTCGTCCCTGAGTGGGTACATTTCGTGTGGCTCCTGCACTGTGAACGTCTTATGCTGAATCATCACATATTCTTAGTAAAGGCTTCCGCTTAGTGATATGCTTAAGGTGTAGCTCGCATTCGAGTTGTGTCCCCAAGTTATATGAAGTGCCTAACCGTACCCATCCCCTCCCCCTCCCCCAGGTATGTGTGGGCCCGGCCGACCAGCAGGTGTGGGCGCTCGACTCTGCTGGCGTGCCGTGGCGCCGCTGCGGCCTGGACGACCAGCCGGTGGTGGGCACTCAGTGGCGGCCGGCCGGCGGTGTCAGCGCCGACCGGCTGGCCGTCAGCCCTGCCGGCGTGTGGGCGCGCTGCCGCCGCTCGGGCCGCGTGCACCGCTGGATGGAGACGGCCGCACAGTGGTGCCGCGTGCCCGGCATCACACGACACGCCTCAGGTGAGAAAAGCACACTGCGAGTCGGCGTTTGCTAATGGGTAAGGACACATTGGTTTTTTTACCGGACACAATTGACCTGAATGGACATGATTTACAATAAATTTGAAATATACTGAACCAACAATCAAGCCACAACCCTTTGTAGTTGCCTTTCACATTTCGATTCATGCCTCGAAATTCGCTGAGTTAGACAAAGTACTCGATGATCCACAAATGTTGAAAATGTCGCGTCTTATCCGTCCATACGCCTATGCCGGCAGTGTCTGTGAGCGGCGAGCTGTGGGTGGTACACCGGGGCGCTCTCTACACGCTACATGACCTGACGCTGCGGCCTGGCCGTCCGATCGAGCCGCGAGTCACCGCCCGGTCGCCGCCGCCGGCGAGCGCGACTGCTGCGGAGGAGGGCGACGATCGAGACTGGGAGCTGGTCACCTACTGAGGCTGGTGGACGACTTTAATTGGCCACCTACCGAGACCGGTTACCGGTAGATGTCCACAGTTGGTATACGTGGGTCTTTCTCTACTGGTACTGATGGACTTCTACTGAGATACTTGGGTGGCTACTGATATTTGGTGCACGTCTTCCGATACCGGCGGAGCCCTGCTCGTGAACGTCCACGGAGCCAGGTGGATATCAACTATAATAACCAACATCTGCAGCTTTCATTTATTGGAACCGGTGGATATCTACCCTAACTGCAATAGTCTGCAGATGCCAGTGAACGCCTATTGTGTATGTGGAAGTCTGAGTGGAACAAATGGAAGTATATCAAGTCCGCTAGTCTTCGGAGCGACCCTAAGGGTCGCGGCAATGAGATGGCTTAGCGCTAACTTGCTACATGCGCACAGGCCGGCGCGCGGTAAAACGCAAGACGTCTTGTGTCACTCGCGAACTGTCGAACGTGTGGCCTTGTACTTCTCTGGTTCCTTCTGCGGCCTCGCAATGCCGTGGTTCTCCGTGATAGCTGTGCGATGTCGTATTTGAGCGACTCCCCAGAGCCGAGACATTCGGGAGTCTGGGAGTCGGGCTCGTACTTTCAGTTATGCAGAGGTGTATTTGTTTTCTTGTGATATTTTACATGGCGATATGTAATTGCTTTTGAGGCCCGGAGCGGATATATGAAGTCTCCGGACTCCGCCAAAGGTCGGGAGTAACAAGTAACATTTATGTGCTTTAAGGTGCTACGGTACGATGACCCAGTGTAGTCAAGGCGCAAACTGTGGACACAGTCAGGGTCAGGACTGGTTTCGGTGCAGTGGCTTCCACCCAGTGATCAAGTCAATATTTTTACAAGCTGGATAAATAATACATCGTGTATCAAGCAGTGTGTTCTTTGTTATTTGGTGGTCACATACGCCTTGCTGGCTTGTTTGTAAGTGGTGACTGCGTCAGTCGATCGGCTGGATGTGCGCTGGGGCAGACACGGAGAGGGCTGCTGTCATCGGGCGGTTGTGATATCAGTATAACGGTTCGCCAATGTGGTCTCAGTCATCTCAACCTTTCATCTGTTCGCCGGCTCACCGTGCCCTGCCCCCCCCCCCCTGTTGCAGTTCAGCATATCTCACCCTGATAGCCACAATTTCCTCAACACATCAACGAAACGACTGGCGGCCGTCTATTCATCAAAGCATTAAACATAAAACGGATTCTGCCGCAGCGCGAATCACGCACCAACTAAAACACCCTCCGAGCGCGCGCTAGAAACAACGGGAACGCCGCGGCACGCTCGTGGAACAGTCGAGCTCGCGGCTGAGGTGCGCCGCTCCAGCTCGCGAGGCGCCAGTCCCCGATTACCTTTCGTCGATTCATCCACCACGAAGCCGCTAGGAAACTCGGTAAGAAAATACACGGGTCGGGCTGCAGTCTATCTCGGCCTAGCCCTCCCCGGAGGCGACCTCGGTCAGCTCTGGATGAACACTACGAACAAGTGGCGGGGCGGACTCGCTGTCGCCCGCTGGCGTTTGTACGTTGGACGAGTTACTCTGACCGCGCCGTGCAGAGCGGGCGCAAGCAATATCTCCCTGCGATAACGGAACGGTCTCACCCGGCCCGGACCGACGGGGGCGGTCTCCGCGGCGGCGGCGGGCCTGCAATGAGCTCTGGATTTGTACACAGGGGCGGCCGGCGGCCCCCAGAGCGGCCACTGCCAGCTCAAAGGTAGAACAGCCGGTCGGCCAGCCGCTCGTCGTGGTGCTTATGTAGCACCTGGCCGACCATGGCAGCAAGCTTGTGCGCATACTGGAACAGAGCAGGCGGTATTCCGTCAGCACTCACAGGACACAGCACGACACAGGGTACAAATAATGCAGAATGCTCATTGCACAGTGCATACAATATACATTAAAAACAGACGCATTATGAGTAATCATTCATTACGGCCGTCAGCAAATCGCTTGTTTCATTTTTTTGTGTTTGCACGGTAGCAAATGCCTGATGAAGTACAGGAATTTAGTGAAAAATTTCGCTAAATGATTAAATATATAGACATTCTCCCGGTAACACCCATACAGGGTATTTTTGAGGAAAAAAAAAATCAGATACCCATTTTCAACGACAACTGGCATCGACAGTGCAAAGTATAACACGAAAATAAACGTTACAATTTAGCTCCGCCAGCGGTCACATCCAAATAAAATACAATCGAAGGCCCTAAAACAATCGACCCTTGGCGCCGCGCGGTATCCCTCTAATAGCGAGCGCGTGGCAACTTTTAAAACGTCTGACCCCGATTCAAAGTTCATTCAGGGTCATTCACCCACGTTTTCCTCAGTTTGAATCAGTTTGAGTAGGTCACAAAATCTTCACATTCCTTTTATTTTGGCTGGTATTCACATCGACACAACAAATATCCAGTTTGCATTGGTATTCATGATTTTTTTGTTCCGAAATTAACGGGAAAAGTGACAAATCCCACAAGTAGTTATTTATTACAATCGATCAATATTTCGATTATGTTGCCGCTATTTCGATACGGTTTACTGGTGTCATTATTGAGTTCCGTCCAGGCCGCATGTCCGGGGGTACCATGGCAGGAATGGAACGGCCACTGCTATAGACTGACGGCTACACCCGTCCCTTGGCACGGCATCAGAGGTCTATGCAAGACTCCATTTCACCAGGCCGATGTGGCTAGCATTGCGAGCCAAGCAGAAAACGACTACATTACGAATACTATTGCGGGAGGCAAGCGTGTCTGGATAGGTATGCGGTCTCACGGCCACAGCCGTTGGTGGTTGGACAACAGTCCCGTTCAGTTCACCAACTTTGCCTCCACGACGCAGACGACGGGCACCAATGACGTCGTCGAGCTGGTGGGAGCCACTGGACAATGGGAGGAGGTCTCCTCCTACGACGGCACCAAGCTGCACGGCATCTGCAAAATGCCCTCGTGCGACTGTCTGGCCGGCTGGGGACTGCATGAAGGCACATGCTACTTGTCGCAGCAGCTCCAGCTCGGCTGGGTGCACGCGCGCCAGCACTGCCAGCGACTGGATCCGTCCGCTGACCTGGTCACCGTCCGCTCCTCGGCCAAGAACCAGTACGTGTTCAACCTGGCCGCCGGACGGTTCCCCACCTGGATCGGTCTGAACGATCGTGTCCAGGAGGGCGTCTACGAGTGGAGCAACCACGTTTCCCTGGGGTCGTACCTAAACTGGCGTCCGCCCACAGAGCCCAACGGCATCGACCATCGCGAGGACTGCACCACCATGATCGAGGACAAGATGTGGGTCGACGCCGGCTGTCACACTACCGTGCTCGGAAAGAGCGTCATCTGCGAGCAGGCCATGTGCGGCCCGCTGGGGCCGGTGGAAGCGGAGCAGACCCGGCTCGGCTCCGAGCGCGTCTGGCGGCCGCAGGACGGCGTGCGCTGCCCGCTCGGCTGGCGCCGCAGCGGCGACCACTGCTTCAGCCAGCCCACGGCGGCCGACACGTTCGCCGGGGTGCAGAGCCGGTGCCGCGCGCAGCACCCGGACGCCGATGTGGCCGTCATTCACTCGTTGGAGGATAACGACCAGGCGTTCCTGTCATCCGGCACGCTGCCCATGTTCATCGCCAGCGACGGCCAGTTCGGCGTGTGGGAGGGGTCGGCCGCGTCCGGCGCCGGCTGCGCCTCGCTGCAGAACTCTGGTCAGTGGAGCAACACTCAGTGCGCCGCCGGCGTGCAGCCGGGCCTCTGCCAGGTGCCCGCCTGCACCCCGCAATGTCCGACCGGCTGGCACCTGTTCGAAGGACAGTGCTACCGCGTCGACGACACCCGCAGGAAGGCGCCCGAAGCCGAGGCTGAGTGTGACAAGGCCGGCGGCCACTTGGCCAGTATCCTCAGTCAGGACGAGAACGACTTCATCATAACATTGGCGTTCCCGTCTTCCACCAGCGACAACACGATGCTGTACATGCTGATTGGCGCGCGGCGCGACAACACCAGCACCGATTGGGTATGGAGCGACTGCAGCGACTGGGTCATCTCGCGCTGGGAGGGCCGCGACGGCCACGGCTACGCCGCCAACGAGGACACGTGCGCCGTGCTCCGCTGGGACGGCCGCTGGCAGGGCTCGATCGACTGCAGCCTGCTGGCGCTCCGGTCTGTGTGCAAGCTGGACCCGTGTAAGCAGCAGTTCGGCCCGCTCCACCGGCCCATGTGCCCCGGAGACGAGCCGCCCACAACCACAACCACCACCACTACCACAACGACAACCACCACTACCACCGCCGCCCCCACCACCACCACCGCCGCCCCCACTCCCAGCATCTCAGACTCCAGCAGCTCGGACTCTTCCTCATCCAGCGTCATCACATCCAGCAGCAGCAGCACATACCACGTGGTGAGCAGCTCCGGCACGAGCACGAGCACGGGCACGGACACGAGCGGCTCCGGCAGCGTCGTGTACCAGACGGGCACCAGCGCGTGCCCAGAGGACGGGCGTCAATGGATCGACGAGGGACACTTCTGCCTGACGGCCGTGCGCGCCGGGCCGGCCACCTTCCGTTCGGCGTTCCGCGCGTGCGAGTCGGCCACGGGCGGCCGGTTCCAGGTGACGGTGCCGGCGCTGCGCACGCTGGCCGACCGTGCGCCGCTGCTGCGGCTGGCCGCCGGCTCGGACGTCTGGCTGGGCCTGACGCGCCGCTGGACCATGGCCTGGTACTGGCACGACCGGCGCCGCGCCTACGTGCTCGACTGGCAGACGCCGCCCACCCTGGCCACCCGCTGTGTGGCCATGGACGCTAGCACCGGCGGCCTGGTGGCGCGCGACTGCTCCCAGCCGCTGCCCTTCTTCTGCCAGGCCCGCCGGCTGTACTGAGCAGACGGGACTGCAGACGACTCCGCCGCAACGAGCATAACATCGAACCGGACTTCAACATTGTTGGAGGCGCACCGATAAAACAACATTTTTTAATCATTTCGCTGTTGTTTTACTTTGTTGCGGTTTTAGTTGGTCGTAAATCATGAAACGGTTTTTGAGAAAATACAAATCATGGCATATACTTTGCGGTTTGGTATCTTCTGTGAGATAATCCGGATGAACATGCCCACAGCCGCTTCCATGGTCAGTGTAAAATAATCCGTAGTAAACTCGCAAAAAAAGAACCGTAAGAGTTTACCATAACCCAGCATGTTCATCGCCAATTCAAATTTTGGCAGAGTTCACGCATTTTAATTCTTGACGCGTTAATTTCGGTGCGCTTTGCAAGAAATGAATCTGACAGAGCTGCAGAATCCTGTCCGAACCGATCACATATTCTGCCCCGCGCGCTTCGACGGCTCGCCCTCACCTGGACGGGGGCCGGGACTCGGACGGTGCCGCACCAATTGTAGTACAGGTGGCACGCCTTGTAGCTGATCTTCTGCAGCGCGTCCGGCGGCCACTGACCGCCGTCGCGCAGCACAATGTAGTGGGTGGGCGACACGGTGCCTTGGTTCACGTGCTGAGAGACCAGGTAGAAGTCGAAGTGGTGCCGCGCAGTCACCGAGTGATCGACGATCGTACCCGGGCCCGGGTTCGCGATGGAGCGGCCCTGTGGCGGAGAGGGTAGAGAGATGACAGGGGTTAGAGAGATGAGGAGGAAGAATAGACATTGTATGGCGGAGCAGCTGCTGTCGGCCAAGGCGTCGTTTCTAGACAAAAATTAGACTGTTTTTTAACCAGAACAAAATGCGAGGCAATGTGGCTATAAAAAAAACACCGAGGATGTCGATCATATGATTGCTTAGAAGAAATCTTAATCGAAACGCAAATCCCGCCTCACATTTTCTCTAGGTCCTACTTCAATGCGTTAAAATAATCACAAACATCAAATTAAAAAAGAACATTAAAAAGAAACATCAAAGAAGCGTTTGTAAAAGCAGATTGATTCGGATTGATAGCTTATATCTACAGCACAAAAAACACATTCAACATTTGCATCCCTTACCTATAGAATGCGACCTTTCGCCGTCTCCCCTCCTGTCACGTACCTGCGCGCTGAAGATGCGCGTGTTGATGCGCTTCTGGACGATCACCACGTTCAGCTTGGGCTTGTACTCATCTCCAAACGCCGTGAACACCGACTCGTACTGCTTGATCTCATGCATCTCGGTGGCGGCCAGCTGCCCCTCCCCGACACCGTCGCGGAAGATGACGATGTGCTCGGGCAGGGCGTTGTTGGCGCGGTGCCACTGGCGCACGGCCGTCAGCAGGCAGGTGCTGAGCGTGTCTCCCAGCTCCTGGCCCTGTTTCTGCACGCGCGCCTGCGAGTGGTAACGCGTCTGGTCGGGGTTGAGCGCCGACACGAACGCCAGCACCGAGTTATCCTTGTGTCGGGGACTGTCGTGGTACACGTCCACGCCGCAGAGCATGGTGCTGCCCACGGGCATCCGGCACGACCACAGCTCGCCGCCCAGCTTGCAGTTGATCTGCATGGCGATCTTGAAGGCGATCGGCCGCAGCTTGCCGAACTCCTTGTTGATCGTTCGGAAGTTGACGACCTGTAAAAGGGGCGCACAAGTGGAGATCAGCTGTGGATAGGACCGGATTACGGCATTTAAACACAGACACACACGGACTTACGTAATCCTCGCATAGTGCACGCCTCTGACTGCAGTTACAATCGCAGAGACACATCCAGACTACGTACCATATTCACTAACAGCAATCGCTACACCGGCCAACCTTGCAGAGCGGCACTAGGCCTACCCAGCACTGCCGGCCCATCCATATGACCCCGCTTCCCTGTCTCCTGTCATGTCTCACCTGACTGGCCACGGGCATCTCCACATAGCAGAGCCTCTTGATGGCCGCGTACCGGTCGTCCCTCTGGCTGGGCATCACGGCGAGCGCCAGCTGCAGCTGAGGCCCGATGGCGCGCCGCAGCGCCTCAACGAACGTCTCCGTGCGCTCGTTCTGCAGCGAGATCATCTGCGGCTGGGCGGCGTTCATGCCGACCCCCTGGCACGCCTGCAGGAGTGCGTTGACCAGCTGGCGCGCCACGTTCTCGTTTCGATTCAGGTAGACGACCACCCAGGAGCGGAGGTCTACCGCCGTCAGCGCCTTGTTGCTCCTGTTGAGTGAGATGGGCGGATTATGAGACGGGTAACAGGAGGGTTAATCAAATGTGAGCACTCACGGTTCACGACTGTGTGTTCATGGAATAGACACGTTTCGATTCTCGAACGCCGGGAACGTGTCATGTCCTTCCATCATTTTAACCACATACCCAAGTACCCATAGCCTCCACCGACCAGTCCTTCCCAGGCAGGCTATCCCAAAACAAGACAGCACAGCCGTCACCTCTACGACCCGGATCACTCACTTGATAGCGCGGTCCCACGAGTAGTCTCGCGTGTCGGGCTGGATCTCTCGGCCGCCGCCGACCCTCAGTCTCTCCGGCTCGAGCTGCCGGCCGTCCAGCCGGGACACGGAGTCGTCCAGACTGAGACCCCACTCGAGCAGTACCTCGTTCGCCTCCGGACACCCTGAGGACAGCGGACATAGCGGGTAATTCTGACGACACCCTGCGGACAGCGTGGATACAGCGGGGTAATTCTAACGACACCCTGAGGACAGCGAGGATACAGCGGGTAAATAAATACCCCTCCGGAAACGCCTGCAGACAGCGCGGAATAGCGGGTAAATAATGCTGACGGCACCGGCCTGCCGACGGCATGGATAGTTCAGCTACACAGCCCGGACTGCAAACAACCCATTCCAATGCATAGACGACAGCACGGGCGCAAGACGTCCGGTCACAGCATGGTCACATCGATCAAGAGAGATTACCACATGAATAAGGGCAATACAAGCTTACTCACAAGCGCTACACCTCAGAATGAGGCCCCTTCCACCTTCCCTCTCGTTTTAGCTTCACGATCGTCTAACCTCCAACATTCCCCAGCCCCTATTCCCTGCTCTCTCCACCCACCTTTGATACGTCGTATGAACGTGGCCAGATGCCTGACCCGGTCCTCTGGTTTGACGGCCGTCTGCGCCATTAGGTCCTTCATCATACGGAAGTCGCTCCGCTGGGCGTCCGTCAGACCAGTCATGTGGCACAGCTCCGGGATCAGGCACAGGTCGTACTGCTCGCTCTGGGGGCAAACACAGGTCACAGGTCAGGGCACAGCTCCGGGATCAGGCACAGGTCGTACTGCTCACTCTGGGGGCACACAGAGATCACAGGTCAGGGCGCAGGTCAGGGCACATCTCCGGGATCAGGCACAGGTCGTACTGCTCACTCTGGGGGTGCAGAGAGGTCAAAGGTCAGGGCACAGGTCCGGGATCAGGCACAGGTCGTACTGCTCACTCTGGGGGTGCAGAGAGGTCAAAGGTCAGGGCACAGGTCCGGGATCAGGCACAGGTCGTACTGCTCACTCTGCGGGGCACACGGAGGTCACAGGTCAGGGCGCAGGTCAGGGCACAGCTCCGGGATCAGGCACAGGTCGTACTGCTCGCTCTGGGGGCAAACACAGGTCACAGGTCAGGGCACAGCTCCGGGATCAGGCACAGGTCGTACTGCTCACTCTGCGGGCACACAGAGATCACAGGTCAGGGCACAGGTCCGGGATCAGGCACAGGTCGTACTGCTCACTCTGGGGTGCAGAGAGGTCAAAGGTCAAGGCACAGGTCCGGGATCAGGCACAGGTCCGGGATCAGGCACAGGTCGAAGAGGTCATGTGGCACAGCTCCGGGATCAGGCACAAGTCGTACTGCTCTCTCTGGGGACACAGAGGTCACAGGTCAGGGCGCAGGTCAGGACACAGCTCAGGACGCAGCTACGTGATCAGGCATAAAGGTCACAGGTCACGGCACAGAATTCCCAGGTCATGACAAACGGCAAGTCAGATATCAGTGGTTAGACATACTAGGAATGCAGGTGCCATTTCCGAATAACTCAAAACACTATCATAAATATCATATCATATCATAAATAAACACTATTTACCTTGCAAAAAATCAAAACTACATTATTTAGCCCAAGTAGAAAACGCAGGGAAATTCGGCCCTCATTTCGCCGTACAGCTGAGAAAAAGGAAAACGGGCACTGCAACAGTAAAGCAGGGACAAGGACAGGATGAGCAAAGGGACAAAAACAGGACAGCGTTGGACTCGGAGGTCCGTGCCTACCTCATTCTCGCGTTTCTTGGGCCGTGAGATGAGCAGCGGCTGATCAGGGTTCTTGATGTCCACCAGGTAGTTCTTCTTGTAGTACTCGATGAATGTGGTCTGAAATGTGGGTCACCGGTCAACAGGAATAAGTATGAGCGAAACCGCCGTAACTATAGCCGTCTTCACGGTCAGCCTAATCAGATACCAGCCGCACATCCACCACTGCGCGCGCAGCCCAAAAAATCCTGCATTTCAGTCAATAGTCTCAGCCTCTCGTGTCACCTGTTGACATCAATATAAACAGAATCACCCCTTCCCCCTCCTTCCCCTCTCTCTCTAAGGCACCAGACCGCACCTTTGAACCGTCAGCCAGCTGGAACGAGTCCTTGGGCGTGCGCTTGTAGTCGATGTCGTCGACGCGGTAGGTGCGCTTGTTGTAGCGCGTCATCACCACGGATCCGACGAGCGTCTTGATGGCGGCGTCCAGCCAGCGGTCGCGGTGCGTGTTGAACGCGTCCTGGATGCAGTCCATGGCTGTGGAGGTGTGCAGTACTCGATGCGCCACATCGACGTTCAGTTTGATACCGCCCTCGAAACAGTGGATGGCGGTGATGTAGCCAGGCCACACCTCCATCCTGGAGAGAAGAGGACAAGGTCAGAGCGATCGCCGAGACGAATGACGGCGTGCAAGGGAGGCCGGCCCAACATGTGACGAGAGTAATGGCCTACGCTGGCCTGTACCTCATCGGCAAAAAGGACAATTAAACCACAGTCTGAGACATTGAATGGTTTAGAGCAGTTTTGAGCTCCGACTGCCCAACTGCCACTTCTAAAATCCGTGATAATTTATCTTCAGCCAATAATTATTCAGGGCTCACCAGAAGCGGCTACAGCAATAACTACAGTCTACACCACGCTGTACCACACGTCCACAACTACCACGAGTCAACCTTACTCACCGGTACTTCTGGATCTGCACGGCGGCCTCGCTGTCAAAGTACGACCGCCGCATCTCCGTCAGTTTGAGCCGTCCCATTATCCGCTTCATGCAGATGTTGAGCAGGTGGATGCAGGCCTCGATCGGCTGCTCCTTCTTCCATATGAACTCGACCAGCACGGAGCCGGCGCCCGGGTTCGGGTGCGGCACGTCGATCTTCGTGATCTGTGAAATCATGGGCCAAGTTGTGGTTTCGGTCGAGCCTGGGTAGATACCAGGGATGCGGAGCCGTGCAAATTTCAGACGGCTCCGGCTCCGGCTCCGGAGAAAAAAAATCGGCTCCAGCTCCGGCTCCAGCTCCGGGTGAAATGTCATGGTGGCTCCGGCTCCGGCTCTGACTCAGTACATCCCACTAGATAGGTACACATTACATAGCCGCCCAGACGTATAAACATTAAACATTTCCCTCTCCCCGGCCTCCCCACGACGTACCTCCTGAGGCAGGCGGACGGGCAGGTAGTACTTTCCGCCGTCGTGGACGCTGGCCTTTCCGATCACCGCCTTCACCTTCTCGTGTCTCAGCAGTTTGAAGCGCAGGCCCATGCTGTCCTGATAGGGTGTGAAGCGCAGCTCGTACTCGTGTACGGCCCGGCCGGGCTGCATGGCCAGACCGATGTGGTTCGTGTAGAGGTCGGCCCTGATGTAAGGGGAAGGGGTCAGTGGGACCATCATCGTTTCCGTAGTTGTCAGCCACCTGACCTCATTTAGTCTTCTGCTGACAAAGAGCTGAACACCATACCACTGAATGCCTACCTAAAAAACTACTACCAGCTACTCAGCACGGTTAAAATAACAACACAGCAGCGAGCACTGACACGACGTCAGCCAATCCTAGCCATAACCCCTCTCCCACTCCCACAAACTCTCCCGATCCTCTCCCACTCCCACACTCTCTCGATCCTCTCCCTCCATGACTCACGGCCTTCCTGCAGTGCCCTTCCTGATGACGGGCGGTTTGTCCAGGTCCACCGCCATTCTCTGGAACCGACTGGCCAGCCGGTCGGCGTCCGAGTCACCGCGACCACCGCCGCTCGCCGGGGCAGCGGTGGCGCGGGGTGCGGCCGGGGCCGCGGCGGCGGCCGCCGCAGCCTGGGCGCTGCCGACGAGCCGAGAAAGGTCATTAGAGATACCCAGGGGTTAGAGGCAATATACGAGGGTCGTTCCAAAAGTAATGCCTCCTATTTTTTAACTCCGCCCCAAATGATCGGAGGGCGTTGACATTTGCACCGTATCATGACTTAACCTTAACTCGCATGTCTTTAAATTTTCATTTCTCTATCACAGCTATTTACCGCGTGACGTCTTGGTAAACGAAGTTCGTCATGGAAACTCGTCAGAAGCAGAGATGTGTCATTGCATTCCTTCACAGGGAAGGGAATGCATCCATCGACATTCACCGACGTTTGCAGAAGGTCTAGAGAGCAGACGCGGTGGATGCGAGCACAGTTAGCAGATGGGTCCGTCGCTTTGAGAGCGGTGAAAGTGATGTCAAAGACAAAGCACGCTCCGGACGTCCGCGCACCGGGCGCCAGCAGGCAAAGTGATGTGCACCGTCTTTTGGGACAGGCAACGTGTCATCCTCTTGGATTTCCTGGCACCAGGAGCGACTGTAAACTCTGACCGTTACGTTGAAACGTTGACAAAACTGAAGGCCCGGATAGCCCGCGTAAGGCCAGAAAAGAAGAGAAACATTCTGTTTGCAACATGACAACGCTAGGCCACACACGAGTCTGAAGACCACAGAATGTGTGGCAAAGTTCGGCTGGACATGCTGCCACACCCTCCGTATAGTCCTAACCTGGCTCCCACCGTCCGACTTCCACTTGTTCGCGCCTCTGAAGGACGGCTTACGTGGGCAGCGCTTCCCAGACAACGACGCCGTCATTGCCGAAGTGAAGAAATGGACCACCTCGGCGGGCGCCGACTTTTACGAGCCAGCCATCAAGGCTCTCGTTCATTGCTGGCAAAAGTGCATTGAGAGTAGTGGTGACTACGTAGAAAAATAAACGTAGAACAAAAAAAGTATGTTCGTTTTAATGACGCCACCCCCATCTTCCAATCTCATCAACTTTTTGAGTAAAAAAATAGGAGGCATTACTTTTGGAACGTCCCTAGTACAACGAATGTAAACCAATAGCATCGGAGTGTTGCAAAACATCTGAAGCTTCATAAAAAACTTCCGACCTATTTGACATATGTCAAGAAGCACGTCCCATTTACAGTTATGAAGACGATTATTGGGTTTTAGGCTTGCGTGGATTGCGGTAGTCACCGGCGGACATCACGTAGATATATAAAACCCTTGCATTTACACATCATAAAAACAACAATCGACTCAGTGTTTACGCTGCAGCACCCGAGCCGTTCCTTGCTCATCCCGTGGCGATACTGTCAGCCCGCTCTCAGTGTCACTCCTCTCGGAACATCCCCATTGTCGAATCCGAGCTCACCTCTTCTGTTTGTGCTTCTCCAGAAGCATGGCCAGCGCGCGGCCCCGACCGCCGCTGGCCGCCGCCGGGGGAGACAGGGTCTGAGCGGCGGCGGCGGGGGCGGGGGCGGCGGCGGCGGTGACCGGGGCGGGCACCGGGGTGGCGGGGGCGGGAGCCGGAGCCGGTGCCTGACCGCCCAGCATTGCCTCTGAAGACAGACAGACAGGTCAGGAACCGTGAATATCCAGTCCTTCCAGATTGTACCCAGAGCACACGGATTCCTCCCCCATAAAGCAATAATTATCATATTTCCTTTATCCTTTGGAACACTCAACAGTCAACAGCCCTATAAGCCTACATCTATCCATAAAAACCCTTGTTTCCTCGAAGGATACGATCCATAGCGATGAAAAACACACAACATTGTCAGGAAACAACCGAGATTCTTCAGCCGACCAAGAAGTGAGAGTGAGAGCACTCCTTACGGCGCACGGCGATACTCACTCTCTCGGCTGTGCTTTTCCAGCAGCTTCTGCAGCCGTTGGGCCCGCCCGGCGCCGGCGGATAGGGCGGGGGCGGGGGCGGCGGGCGGCGGACCGTCACCTCCCGGCCCCATATTCTGAGTCACCGGGTGGTCCGGCACGTGTGCCTAGAGACGGGCGATATCAGATGTCAGGTGCCATGGTACTGAATATGTGTGGTGTTGAAATGAAGAGACGCAACATCGTGACAGCCCGTGTCGGATATTCCCGCAAGAAGGTTGCTAGATGACGACCAAAATTGTAGCACAATCAATTTTATCAAGCAAAGCTAAATGTACGTAGTATCCGACATAAAACCCACATACACAGTAGCAATGCTGGAGGCATTGCCACAAAGCCATTGATTCGGCATATCTCCGACCAAATGCAATACCCTTATATCCTCTCTGCAGTCCCTCCCCCGCTTCTCACCCCACTCACCGTGGTCTGTTCGACGCCATTATCCTCCAGACTGGCGCCGGGCCGGCGTTTGTACATCTCCATAGCCCGGCGCATGGCGTCTCCGCGGCCTCCGCGGCCCAGCGGCCGGCGCGACTCGGCACCCTCGCCCTCCATCCTGCTACCGGTGCACGCGCTGTCCTGCGCTCTCACTGAGGCCAGTCGCTGTCAATAATGCTTGCTGAACTCTCAATGATCACTCAGTTATATGTGACACATCCACTCAGTCAGTAACTTCTGTGGAAAGAGTTATGCCAGTTACACTGGTGCAGTTTTCCCCAGTGGAACATATGTGATCTGGTCAAATGCAACTATGCAGGTACTGTGTCCACATGTGGCTATATAACCAAATAGAAGCAAGTTGCTGATCAATAAAATTGAAAACTTAATAATATGCCATAACATCACACAAATTTCATTAAAAATGTAGGTATTGCTGCCAATTGCCAAAATTCATTTATTAGGCTGTGTTTCTGACTTATTATTATCTGTTTAAAAACATACATTAACATAGGCAAAGTTTTCAGCTGATCCTGTTGAGTGACCTTATTCATGTTGATCTATATGGTTGACATAACAGGTCAACTGTGCAGTTGACCTACTTAGGTCAGCCACATGGACGACATTCGGAAATGGTAAAACATCACAAGAGAGGCAGCATTTCAAGTTATTGCAATTAGGTAAATTCACAATGAGACAGTTTTCTGTCTAGAGGTAGACGTGTTTGAGCCAAAGTGTAGGCTCACAAAAAAGAGCTTTTAATGTTGCTGACATAGGGGGAGCTGATACATCCCTTTAGGATCTTCACAAATGTCTTCAGAACCAGCAGAAGGAATGGACTCAAATTTGGCAAAGTTTTGTACCATCCTTTTGACCCATGATTTAAAAAAAATTGTTTGCTGTAAGGTCAGGACACTGAACTATGTACCATACCTAAGTCAGAGTATTTGACTAAAATCAGCTTGTCATCTGGGACAACTGCAATGTTTCAAACATTCCAAATTATAGTTTTGCATTGCAAGCAAGATATTTATGCTGATTGAATATCAACATCCAACAAACCATACAAAATAGCACTGAGATCAAGGTAACTCCCAAAATAAGCATGATATAATATTTTTAGACAATTGTCAAAGCTCAGCTCCAAAGGTGATACACAGTAAGGCAGGGGAGCTGATTCACTGCCTGTTCATTTCTGATTCACTGCTGATTCACTTCAGAGCAAGAAGGGGGTGAGGGGCAGCTTATATTTGATTTGTCACCATGCACTGCAAATGCCAAAGGAAAAAAGTCAAGTTTAACATAGGCATTTAACAAGCTTCAAGAATGTATGCATTACTTAGGTTATCAGTTGTAGTATGGGTTGGGTAAGGTTTCATCACTTTTCATGCAAAAAAATGTTTAACTTAAGTTGACATCCCAAAAGTATGAAGTATCTGTGACATTTTTGGGGCAGAGAGACAAAGACTACCAAAGGTTGGTCAAAGATTACCAAAAATGTCATGATAGCTTGGCATTAGTTTTTGATAGAATGCCTTAACCATTAAAATACATTAGTGATAAAGATTGTAATTAACATGTTTTCAAACAGATCCTTATTTGTATTTATCAAATAACATTTGCATTGCAATTGTTTTATTCTGAGTCTCCACTAAAAAAAAAATGAGTACCTCCTGCAGGTTGATGAATGCATACATGGGTCCAGTTAAAGGGACCCTCCCACCTTCAAAAAAGTTAATGAATTGGCATAAAAGTGATGTAGCGTGAATCACAAAGAGCGAAAATGAACATCTACCAAATTTTACCGGAAAATATTCACCCGTTTTCGAGATATAAGACTTTTATTTTTGTTTACTTTTTGGGAAATCCGCTGTTACTATGACGTCACATAAAGGTTTCCTTTACGTCGGCATTTGGAAGCAATAGTTTGGTATCAAAGTGCGACAAATATTGCGCGAATGATGCGTTTATCTTATCAAGGTCAATATATGATGGCCAATAAAGGATTCCAGGACAATTCTTATGGCATTTCTTCGTATCGCAATTCTTCGTCTGCAAATCTTCGTCAGGGCATTTATTCGTACCTATCGCATTACTTTGTCTCGCACCAGGGTATATGAAAATCGGCTCGCATTTCTTCTTCAACGCAAATATATGCAAGAGTAAGCATTGAGGGACAAATAAATGCACCGACGAAGATTTGTAGACGAAGAAATGCGGACGAAAAATTGTGCTACGAAGAAATGTCATGCGAGGATTCGTTCGGGTACCATGACATTTATGTGATTTCAAAGTCAAGGTTCACAGCTGATCTGCTAAATCAAGCCAAGAATCCAAACTATCAAAAAACTATAAATATTTGTTTGTCTGTCACAGAGGTCTCAAGCAATATAAGGTTGACATATGTTGAATCAAAAATCTACTGCCACAACTCACATCTCCTGCCTTAGTTTATCATTGTTGTTTTAACTTGCTTTCAAGAGAAATGCGAAAATTCGCACTGAGCCCAATTTGGGATTTGCCTCTAAAAAACGCAAGATGATTTTCGTTCCTCTCATCACTGTAGTATGAGTGGACTGAATTAAAAACTATGACACCGAATGTGTTCTGTGTATAACTTCTTGTCTGTGTGTTTGCATGTATTTTATAGTTAAATTTACAGCATACTTTGATAGGAAATAGTGAGTGTATCTAGATATTCTTAACTTGGAATCTCCTACATGGTTGATAGCGTGCGGGGATTTGAATTTTTTGTCTGTGAATTTAATTTAGAATTTTGGGTATCGCTGCAATGTGAGCTATACTTATAGGGTTATTCTAGTTGTCCAGTGACCAAGGCCAAACAATATTGGCCGAAATATTTGGACTTGCATACGCAATACAATCCCAGTGAATTCCGATAAAGTTTTATATCTACAAACAGAAGCCAGTATCTGATATCACTTCAGATGATTGTTTCAAGATCTGAGTTCAAATGGAAATAAAAGCAAGATCAAGATGAAACAGGGATTATTGCTGTTAAAGTAGTTTGGCCATGATACAACAAGCACATAAATCATTAGCCAAATCAAATACTGGTTGGTTTGTCAAGAGACAAGATGTTTGTTGTCTGTCGTCTGTCGAGCTGCTATGAACACTGAACGCTCTCACTCTTACTTTAAAGAGAGTAGTTTAAGTTGAATGGTAGTGAGCTGTAATTAGACAAAGCAGCTATTCAGTGCTCACATCAAGCCAGGCTATGAAATGGCATCAACTGTGGTGGGAGGAAGCAGGTTCGGCAGCCCTATGTTGTAAACTTCTGTTATGTCTTGTGTTTGATCAACTGATGTTTTCTGCTCTGTTTTGTGCAGTGATAGTAGCAGGTAACTGCATGCTTGTCAAAGTATGTGAATAAACGAATTCATAACATTGCATTTTTCTCTCCATGCAAGGAACAAGTAAGATGTTGTAGAAAATGTAATAGAGGGCTGCATTGCTGATTTTGCACTTTATCAGAGCTTTATTTAGAATTGCTTTCCTGAAAGCTACACACAGGCCACAGTGCTGAAATTCACAATGCCATAGCTTTTGGCAGAAAAAAGAAAAGACTTACCTAGGTAAAATTGGCTGAAAGTATGGCAGAGCAGGTCTTGATGCGTATGCCCATCCGTGTGCTTGCCGAAGCCGAACTGACTGCAACACATTTAACTCTGACCCACCATGGTGGCTGGCATATCCTGAACTTTCACCACTCTAAACAAGACAACTTTCAGCCCTCAGCATTGTATTAAAACACTGTACAAAACACTCAAAATTTGTTTCAGTGCCATCCACGGACAACATCAGTCGCCATTCACCAGGCCAGTAAAAACAGAATAGATAATAGCTTCAAACCCATGTAGTCAGAGTTACTAGGTCTGCACCTCAAAACAAAATCCAGGTGACATTCACCACGCCAGTAAAAAACAGGTACTTAGGTAACGTAACAGCTTCAAATCTGGTAACATGTTGGTCGGACTTTACACTACCATATTTACATGGTATAATATGATACCAAACAATAGTGCAACCATTCTGGACAACAATAGTGTATGATAAAATTAATTTAGAATACTCTGGCACTTGGCAGCATGATTTACGAGCACAGGCAGGTGTTACCTACCAGCCTTCTCAATGCTCGTAAAACCAACATTGTAGTTTTGATTTTACCTTACATGATAACACACTTGGCTGCAATGGCACATTTAATTTAATACTGTGAAAAGACCAGTTATAACCACTTCACAAGCACAATTGCACCTCATGCCGACATCCTTTTCCAAAGACAGTCAGCAGCGTCTTTCGTCAAAACTGGAAGATAAATCCCCTTTCAACTGTTAACATCAAAAATATTTCTTCATGGTGTGACTGTGATCTCCATATGGAAACCTTGCAGGAAAAGAATTAATGTCAATTGTCAGCTCTTCAAATTTCTTTGGACTTTAACTTGCAGTACCATATCAGTTTGCTTTGATATTTTGTTTTATATTCCATGTTGAAGTTGAACACCAAGCTCCAGATATAGCAGGCAGCTTGATCATCTTCGGCCTTGGTATAATATCAGTCCAAGTTCCAGTGGTGGGTATCTTCTAATATTCAAATTAAAATGAAAAGCAATAGGCTTTCTCAGCGCCGATGACGGATTTCACGTTGATAAAAAAGGGAGCTCAAGGTCAGCAAAACTCGGGTTCAAGGAATGGCGGGCGTTGAAATGACTGCTGACGTCATCAAAAAACCGCTAATGGTTAAGAGATAGGGACTAAGCTGGTCCCACCCTGCAAGTAAAGGGAAGAAATTTCTTGAACACCATAAAGCTGCGGGGGTTGCGACCAGGATAAATGGTGGTTTCTGAGCCTGGCCGCAAACTTGGCTATCTCAACTCAAAACTAATGTTAAGGTGGGATGGTCCCTTTAAAGGAAATAGTTCACTTTCACGAAATTATTTTTTGCAACGGATTTATGATTTTTTATGTTCAAAATAATCAGCAAAGAAAATAAAACCTTTTTATAACAAAATATTATTTTCTATATTTTGATATAGGAAGAACTTTTCAGTTTCTGTAAGGCACACGCGATCCAGTATGAAAAGAGCATGGGTCCCGAAAATTCTTCAGAAACAGAGAAATTATCGCAGCCACCGGCATTTGGGCGATCTGCTCGATCTGATAATGTTCCCCTGAATGTCCTAATTGATCAGTACGAGAATTTCTCTAGAGTTCTCGTAGATAATTGCTCTAGTTTCTGAATAATTTTCGGGACCCATGCTCTTTTCATACTGGATGGAAATATATGCAAGGCACACATCCTCAACGCAAGACACCTTTTTCGGGACGAGAAATAGAATATCTTTGCCTAGGGTGATCGTTGGGCTGTAAAAGCTCCTGATTTATGCTCGTCTCAGCCCAAGCTACGGAACTGCTATTCCAGTTCAAAACCCATGTTAAAAAGTGAACTATTTCCTTTAACAACTGACAAGAATAAGTTTTATTCCTCATAGCAATCAGTAACCAGGGCCCTGTTTCAGCCCATGATACGTACCATGATACTGCCTAATGCTACAATATTGTGGGGGCCAATATCATAGTTGTATATCATGAAACTTGGGCCCGACCCAGCTTTTCACTAGATCTCCAATAGCACCAGCTTCAACTACTAGTCTGATGATCAGAGTTTGCTGACATTTACATGGAAACCCAATACCATCAAAAATACACACACTCCCACAGTGTAGCATCACAATGTGAAACAGGGCCCTGAGGGGCCGGCGTAGCTCTTTTAACCAACCAAAGGAAGGTACCTGCTATACAGAGAATATCCCATTGCGTCATTGAAAAGTGACTTATACCTCCATCCAACTACATGGTATAGTGGTTATGGCCATAGTTATGGCACTCGCCTCATGTTCATTGACTGGAAGCTTTAATCCTGCCGCCGGCTGACATTTTTGGGACGTTGTAGGTTGTGGTAGGTAGCAGGTTAGTTTAGGTTGAAGGTTTGTCGGTTGTAATTGAGGTTAGGTCAGATTAGGTAATGTTAGTTTTAGTCATAAAAAGCATCTTCAGGTATAGAGGCTTCCTTTTGGTTGGAAAAAAACGCCCTTGACGGCTGGGGACAGGGAGGGGTGAAACTTCATTCAGCAATCAGCAGCCAACTCAAACTGTACCTACATCAGCAAAATGTGGGCGTATTTCCGGCAGAAATAAAAAACATGCTGCACGGCAATAAATTACGGAAAGGAAGCTCTGAGATGACCCCAATCGCAAAATATCCCAACGGAAAAAAATATATCTGGCGCGTGCTTCAATTCGTGCGAATTGATGCGCGTGCGACAATTCTTTTTCACCAAGGATTTCGTTTTTTTGCTGAAATGAAAGCTCGTGTTATTTGTGGTTTGCGATGTTATTTGGTCTGTCATATGACGTAGAATGATATGAATTGGGATAAATTTTTGAAAATTGTGAATTGATTCATTTCATTTTATTAATATTTACTTTTTTTGTTATTTCAAATAAATTTTCTGAATGTCGAATTCACAAGATTATTCTTTTTTATTTATGACAAATTTTATTTGTTCGGCTTAAACCGGAAATGTTTCAGTTTAAACTCAAATTAACTATTTCGCAAAAGGTATTAGATGACGTCAAAAACTGACACAAGGGTCAACTTTCACCGTGCATCTCTTACTTCCAAAAACCAAGATAAATGTTTTAAGGATAAATTTTTGATTTTTGGATAAGAAATGCATGCATATTTTTAAAAAAATAGAATCATAGTGTAAAAAGGATAGCACATATCTGACATCATTGCATATTCTGATGTATTTTGTAAGACGTCATCAATATGTTCGACTGATACTACATAAAGATGTGTTGCCCATAACCTCGGAGAACTGCGATTTGCAATATTTTTTTTTTTGTGTGTGCAAAAGTATTGTATTTACCCTCAGCCCGAGCGCTGTTCGGCAGCCGGCTATTTTGTGTGCAGGGTATGACGTATTTCGCGAGCCGAGCGCCAACGACAAACTAACGGGAACCCTCGGACACCCTCGGGGCATAAACCAGGCCCATGTCGTCCCCTATCTCTCTGCGTGTCCACTAACACGAATGACGTCACGCATGTGGGCGGAGCTATGGGCGGAGCCTAACGCACGCGGCAGTCCAAGCCGCCATATTTGAATTTATATTTTAATAGAATCTTGCCGATATTTTGGGTGAAGTCAATTTATATGGATAGCTGGGTGACAGTTTAGCTATACGAATAATAATTTATTATGGATGTGCGTATATTCAGCTTGGAATTGCAATTAATGTTCCGCACCGCATAGATTCGAACTCGGGACCTTTGGAATACTGCGCGGGCACGCTAACCACTACACTACCGCGACCGCGCGGCGGCCGGCGGCAGGGAGGCTGCGGAGACATGGGGGGACATTTTACGCTTTTGTGAAAAAAGCAAAAGATTTAGCGAAAAACACGTAATAGATAACTTGCAGAAAATTGTCTGCTCTTTCAGATAAGATACTTAGGTTTGATATATCTTGTGCAGACTTCATTCTACAGTGCTTCGAAAATTGCTCATTTACATGGAGATTGAACGGGGCTTCGAGACTTGACTCCAAATGACGTCACGAGCTGACGTCACGAAAAGGTAGAATCGCCGGACGACCCTACCTGGTATATAGGGCCTTGGCATAAACCGCGGAGTAGCATATTGAGCGAGTCTTATAAGGAAAATTCATATATTTTCGTTTCTCAAATGATAATCAGGGTGTTTCTTACCTTTTTACATATCATTTAGGCTTACCTAACACTTCAGTTGCCAAATATCTGCAATTTATTCAAGGGAAGGTATTTTCAGTAAATATCAATGGTATAGACCGAAATCAATTTGAATAAAAACTCCAACCAACAGAAATAAAAATAACATAACTTATTCAAACCATTTCCTCCAAATAAACAACATAAAAACTCACTTTTACACACATCATTCATAATAAAGCATACTTACACGCCGCTTTTGACAATTGCGGCGTCGAGTGGCGCGCTGCTAGCGCTCTTTTTCGATCGCAGAGACCCTGCACGCGCGCGAGCACACTACGTCACGTCCGGGGGGCACAGGTATATGAAAAATCGCAGTGACGTAACACTTTTCTCGCTTCTCATTGGTCAATAGCCCGTTGCCGGGGTAACGTGCACGTATGTGAGCGCGGGCAAGAGCTGGGCAAGAGTACTAGCCGGCCGCCGATCAGGGCTCCTATTTTAGCCAGTTTCTCGCATGGCGCATTTTTTGTTGTAGAGCGGGCATCATAAATTAACCCGCGCCCAGATGGGGTCTGCCGAGCAACGCGGTCTGATGGGGGGGGGCCATTTTGGCCCCCCCCTCAGATCTCGAGAACCACGCAACATAGCGACAAGCGGTAAACGGTGTTGGATAGCCCCAGCGGGGAACTACCTTGTGACCCAATTTCATTGACCTCGGTCAAACCGATGACGTCACAGGTCAGGTCAAAGGTCGAATTTTCACCGTTTACAGGCATTTCAAGAAATGCGTTGTAAAATCGAGTAAAATGCATTTCATTGAAAATCATCGATGGAGAAATGTTCTTCAAACACATATTTTGCTATTTGAGGTCACTGATACCAGGTCAGGTCACAGAGGTCAGGTCACTGGGGGGGTCACAATATGAAAGTGTCGTGTGATACATGTTTTATGGTCCATTTTACATGACAAATGCGATTATGTGGGTCAGACAGACTTTAGGGCCGGCTTAGGTCACGTTTTGGTCAAGGTCAGGTCAAGGTCAGGTCAAGGTCAGGTCAAGGTCAGGTCAAATTAGGTCAAATTTCAAAGTTGATATTTTTGCATAAAATGGGTATCGATTCGATGCAGCTCGTCACGGGGAGTTCAATGGTGGTCTCCGTTTTGCGCTACGAGGTCTAGAATTGCTAAAAATTGAGTTCAAAAATTTGACGTCATCAATTTTTAACAGTTTTTTCGCTATAACTTGGCCAAAAAAAGAGGTATCGATCTAAAATTTGGTATGTATATCGAAGAGCGCAGGGACTATCACATATATTCCGTTTTTTTTCGAAATTCGGAAAATTTTTGGAAATTTTTTGAGTTTTTCTAAAAAAATCAATTTTTTTATTTTTGGGGGTCAAAATCCCAAAATTTCGAAAATCCGAGATAGCAGTTTTGTAGCGCCGTCTTTTCTCTACACAACCACATAAAGAACTTTAAAATTGCTTGTTAGCTGTAGAATTGGTGAGCGTTTCAAGATGTCATGTTTTTTGCTCATTTTTGCTCGAACATGACCTCAGTTTGACCTCAATAACTCCTGACCTGAGGTGACCTGTGACTTGAAATTTTGTGTGAAGGTGTCAAATTGATGCCCGGTAAGGTACCCAAAATTTGGCGGCGCTGCGCGCCGCCGTTTTCTCGCTATTTAAGAAAAACCACAGGGGGGGGGCCAAAATGGCCCCCCCCCCATCAGGGCGCGGGTTAAAGGTAAATATTAGGATGAGTTTGTACGGGTCAGTGGTGTCGAATGAATGCACAACAAAAGGTTCTGGTTCATATGCTGTGTATGCTGTAAAGTGAAATAAAATGCTTTAATTGTAATATTCATGCTAAGTCTGGCAAACCTAAGAAAGAACGGAGTTAAAGCACCTGAATCACTTTGCACGTGTTTTGAGCACTTGAAATGTATGGCTCGGAGAAATTTATGTGAAAAGTTGTGAGAGAAAATATGCTCTCACAACATAAATGCACATGCATCAATGACTGCAGCACTTTAAATCCATTCCTTCTTAGGTCTGCCAGACTATAGTAATTTGTCTTTGTAAGCCTCATCCCCCTGCCTCTTACAATCTTCAAAGTTCAATCTTCCAAGTACTGGGCTGGAAAAGCAGCAAGAGGTCTCAGCTGTCAAGCAGAATCAATCTGTGGTCATGCTGTTTAAGAACTTCAAGAATTTGCTCTTTTGCTAGGATTGTTGTTAGTATATTCAGGAATTTAATGCCTACTGGATCACTTGAAGTGCACAAATGATTATGGCATAAGACAAGCAGGATATGAAGGAATGAGTAGAAAGGAAAAGTTAAATTAAGAATAAGAAGATAATACTTTCAGCAATAATATTGAGGCTCCTTTTTTAATAAAACGGGCCATAACACACTTAAAAAAACAATCTGACTGAAACCTGTATTGAGATAATTTTTGTTTAATTGTTTTTCAAGAAAGGGACTTAGCCTGTTATGCCCTGGGTGAATGGGCTGACCTCTGAGGCCATGGGTTGACCTGGGGGTGGGACTGACTCTGACCCTGCTCCGTTTCACAACATGCTGCTGCCTAGGTACTGTACAAATATCAGCTCCATGGGAACTAGTTTGTCTACCCCTAGATGATCCAGCCATGTCAATGTGGACTTGACCTCACCTTTCAGGCATGGCTAGGTTAGGTTTAGTTTGGTGATGGTTAAGAAATGTTGACTGGGTTTGTGTGGTTCCCTCTTCATAGTGCCCTGTTTGTATGGTAATCTGACATCATAGGTTTCCTTTACATGTATAATGGCATGCAAAATTTGGCATTATGAAGGGCTACATAGTACATACTTTACCACCTTTTTTCAAGAGCTCTAATACATAATATGCCTGAGCTGAAAAGAGATCCTTAGCTGTAGTAGTCGGAGCTATTTATTTTTCATGTAAATTCATAATATGAGGTATGCCACATAATTCATGTCCATGAAGCAAAATGACTTAACTTGTGCTGGTAGTACCACTGCTCTACTGCTATTGTAGGCTGATGATGTCATATTGGAATATCTCATGTAGTTATGCTATGAAAACTGGAAACACTTGTATCTGCTAGTAGTGTGTTATGAAACAGGGCCCTTAAATTTTGTGCAGTTTGCTTTGTTATTAGCATGCCTGTCAATATACTCCATAAACATTTAGCAATATGCTCTAGTATGATGATAGCCATACCTCTCTATATGTGATAGCCAATACCTATATCTACAATTTTTATGGAGAATTGTAGCCCCATTCGGCATGGGGACTGCAACTGGATGCTGATGGGTGTTCTCAATTCCCATTTGCCACCTGTCATTAGTCATTACCCTGAAGCTCTAGCTGTTGCAGGGGAACAGTTGTTAATGATCTGATGTTTCTTGACCCTAGGTGTGTTGAACTTCAGTCTTGAACTTGTGTTTATTGTCTGACTCTGATCTGCAGGGATTCTGGTGATGTAATCTATTCCTCTTCTAGTCCTTAATATGCCTACATATATATGGTTACAGATGCTGTCATAATAATTAGCTTAGGTATGTAAAATTTAAAACATGATGGCATTTTGCTTTTTTTACAGCTGGAGCCACCAACACTCTCAGTACTTGACTACAGTACAGTACTTGACTAAGTACTTGAATAAGCACTTGAATCTTCAGTGCTTCAGGAAAGCATGTCTGATCCTGAACCTAATGCTACCATAGTTGAAAAGTCAGGTCAGGCCACATCTGACACTGACCCACCAACTGAAGGAGATGGAGCAGACGGTAAATCGGCGGCAGCGGACCAGGCCCCTGCAGACGCGCTGCAGGCTGCCGGGGACGCCGGTGCCGCGGGTAGCGCAGCCCAGGAGGACGGCCCGCAGCAGGACGAGGCCGCGCTGCCGGCGCGGCTGTCACTCTCCGAACCGCTGCCGAGCGGCCAGCTGGGCCGGCTGGCCGAGCCGGACGAGTCGTGCTTCGTGTGCGGCCACCGGTGGCAGAACAGCCTGCGTTACCGGCTGACGCGCGACGTGTACATGTTCGCGCTGCCGCGCCAGCCGGTGCAGCGCCGCGACTGGCTGCTCTCGCTGCACTGGGGCCGCGCATCGGCGCCGCCTCCTGACGGCCGGCTCTGCTCGCTGCACTTTGGTCCCAGCGACTGCCGCTCTGTGCCCGGCGAGCGCAACACGGCCCAACTGCTGCCCATCGCCATGCCGCGCAGGTGGGTCCCTTTCAGCGCCCTGGGAGAAGGGATCAGGTGGGCCTTTTTGCTCAGCAGGAGAGCTACTGGTCTGGCAGGTTCTCCCTAGTCCCTTCCAATCACCATTTCTTCTTATATCGCCCATAACTTTTGATATTGCTTATTTTGTTGGAGCGTATACCGTCCCTCCAATGAAAGCCAACGTTCATGCGTGGTAGATTAAGTAGCCTGTAGATAATAACAGCCCATCTTTCCCCGCCAGGCGGTACTACGACACCCAGGAGGAGGAGCCGGCCCGCGCCTGCTCCTATCCGCTGTGTCGCGGCCAGCGGCGCCAGCTGCTCGCCATACTGAGCGAGATCCAGGAGCGGGGCAGCGGCCAGCTGCGCCGCGCCGTGCGCCCCTACTGGAGCCGCCGCCGGTACCCGCTGCCAGAACCGGGACCCGTCAATGAGGCCTGGGTGGAGCTGTTCACGGAGGCGCTCAACGATCGGCCCAACGTGCCAGATGAGGTGGAGCTGTGAGTGCGGGGGAGTGCGCCGGCGGTGGGAGGGTGCGGAAAGGGGCATATTACACAGGCGGGATGAAGGAGAAATGAATTGGACCACGGCTGGTCAGTGGTCGTCGATCTTACACTGAGTATGCTCTAACTAAGCATCATTCTTCATTTTAGTTACGATCTTTTCGGACTCCGTGTTTTTCGGTACGTATATTTAATCGTTTGATATAGCTTTGTGTGCTGCTCACACTTTCTATAATAGGTACTAACTACTAGGTATTTTACTGTTGCCTCGATACTGAAGTTGTTCGTCTATTCACATGCGTGCTGAACGCTGGTCCCCGTTGTACTTCATCTAACCGTTCCCTCCGTAACCGTTCATCCTCCGTTCGCCAGCTCGTTCCTGTGTGCGCTGCACTTTGCTCCCAAGTGGTTTCGCTGGGAGAACCGCGGCCGACCCAGGATAACCTCAGAGCCGCTCGGCGAGCCCAAACTGGACAAATACGCCGAGCCCACCATATTCTCGTAAGTGGAGTGCTTGGGTTTGTGCAGCTGTGGCTGAGGAAAGGAGATGTTGTGAGTGGCCGTGGTTGAACCAGTGCAGCATTGTTGGGACTTTGGTGACGGATTAGCTAAATGTGTTTTTGCTCGTTTTTATTTTCCTTTGAGGCTATTATGAATTCGCTATTTTCCCACGTTTATCACATTTAGCTGCTCCGTGATAGTGTTTGTAATCCCAACAGGTAAGCTCGTGTAATTGTCAACAATGTCCTCGGTAGCGGCCAGAGACGGAACAAACTCACTGATGTACCCAGTAGACTACCGTTGTCCGGCATCACTCGTTCTATCGCATAGTGTGTTTACGAAGATCAGCTGGATCAATCAGGCGGCAAAACAACACGGATGTATCGCATACGGACTGTTACTAAGCTCGGCTGAAGATCGCCTGCCGAGATTTCCGTGTACGATTTCGTTTTGGCGATCTGTTGACGCGTTTCCGATCACGTTTTGCACGATAGTGTGCTGTAGCATTCTAGATACAAGGCAGTATTTGTAGGATCGACTTTTGGATATGGGTAACGTTTGGTATGTGGGCGATAAGATATGTGTGGAATAATTGCCCGATCGTGCTATGGTATGGTGCCGCTGCCTTTCCGCTCACCCTGTGGTTACCTACTTGTTTGACGTCAATAGACAGAGTTGATCAGAGTGGGTCCTGTAAACTAACTCTGACCCCCTACCCGGTGTTTTCAGCTCTTCGGCGCTGATCGGTGGACTAAAACTGGCACTGGAGAAGGACCTGAAACAGCAGCAGCTGAACAAAACGCTGGAGAAGAATCAGCCGGAGTTGGAGGCTGACCAGAAGCCAGCAGCACCTGTCAGACAGCCCGAGTGCGTCTCTCTCTCTCTCTCTCTCTCTCTCTCTCTCTCTCTCTCTCTCTCTCTCTCTCTCTCTCTCTCTCTCTCTCTCCCTCTCCCTCTCCCTCTCCCTCTCCCTCTCCCTCTCCCTCTCCCTCTCTCTCCCTCTCCCTCCCTCCCTCTCTGGCTCTTGCACTTTTTAGTTTCTTAGAACTCTCCACTTTACTTTCTCGTTGATGGCGCGTAATGTTCCGCTGTATTGACTGAACATCGAGGCAGGACTATTTAGTCACTTGACTTATCAAGCTTTCCATCTCACATGGCACCCAAACATTCCACCTCGGTAACAGAATGTCAGTAACCGTTCGGACGTGTAGCTAAATCGGTACTGTCGGGTCATTGAAGTCAACAGCGTTATCGGATCCCTGTTTCTTATAGTTTCGATCAACACGAAGCTCCCAAAGGAAGTCTCACCCAACCACTTAACATACCTCCTAGGAGCGCCGGCTTTGAACCCCTCACAGGCCGGTGGGGTGGCAGCTTTATTTAGCATAAGCCGAATCAAGAACGCCTAGTTGAGTTTGCGTTATTTGTTTCATGTGGCACGCAAGGAAACAGTGGGGTATGTTTCCGGTGGGGACCGCTTTTCACCTAGCCACTTGTCAGCTTTACACTTCAGAGGATTATGCCCGGCTAAATTGTTGCGTGTTACGTGTCACGTGCAACGATGCATACCTACAAAGGCTAGCAACAGTCTGAAGCTCATGCGTCATTGTCATCTAGGATAGAATGCACAGTGTCAAAGGGTATCTCTACAGTGACTACACCACCCATGAACATAGAACACGGATGAGAAATGTTATTTCTTATCCCTGACTAGAGATCGTACAGTATAACTACACAGCAAGCGCGTGTCTCACTCCACACTATATCGTGTGCCTTCCTTCACACCTTGCCTTTTCTGTGGTCAGGTCCGGCGAGCCGCGCTGTGGGTACCCGCACTGCGGCTCCGACGCTAGTCCGGTGCTGTTCACCGTACCGACAGCCGAGGAGGAGCCCGAGAGGCGCCAGCTGTGGATCCGCTCCCTGAGGGCGGTGGTCGGAGCACTGGGGCAAGACGCCGGCGGATTCAACCCCGAGACATGGTGAGTGTAAAATGGGAGGGTAGTGAGTCTTACTCGGGGTGAGTGTGAGATCGAGCGGGAGCAATGTCTACTTTGGCAATAGTATGTGGGGAGATTGAAGGAAAGGTAAATTCAAAATGGAAGCTGTCATGACACTCAGCTGGCTTCGACGAGGGGAAGTAGGTGTCAGATACTGGATGAGCTAAGAGTATGTGAAAGAAGACGGGATATAACAAGGTTCAATCCTCATCAACCTATTGTGTTGAAAAGAAAAAAAAACGAGTGAGATAACAACTACGCCCGCGAGAGACCAACGTAATGAAATGCTGTAGTATTGAGGCCAGCAAGATAAAACCCCTTTCTGCCACCTGGACCCCTCCGCCATCTTCCAACCCGTACCTCCTCTGACGGCTCCGCTCTGTATTTCAGCACCATGCTGTGCTCCAACCACTTCGGTGAAGACACTATCACCCGTATGGAGACGGACGGACAGACGGTCATCTCGCTGGACGCACGCGCCGTGCCAGTGCGGTTCCGCAGGTACGCAGAGGGTAGGGGACGATGGCCTGGGGTCGGGGATGGCGATCGAGCGATGAGAAAGGGAATGGCTAGGGCTCCGATGACGTTTGAAGTTTGGCGCCCCGAAAACTTGAACATCATTGGTAATGGCAATAATTTTTAGAACGGTGTATGCGGCTGCCTAGTTTGGACAGGTGACTTTGTTAATCTGTAATTGTTTGGCGTGGTTGCGAACTGCGACTTATGCGTAACGATGAAGGCTGTCATGGGTTGATCTAGTTTGCTGTTTTCCTGCTAGTCAATAGATCTCCCCGCTCTCTAAACTTCTTCAGACCGGCGCCGGACGCATCTGCCTCGGCCGCCAAGCGGGCGCGTCTGACGCCGTCCGTAGTCAGCTGGCCGGACGAGCTGGGACGGCTGGTGGAGACGGCAGCGCTCCAGATGGATGAGGAGCAGGAGTCATCAGATGAGGAGCGGGATCCTCAGGAGGTGGCCAATGAGGCGGCGCGCCAGCAGCAGCCGCCGGGGTGAGCGACTTGCTGCCGTCATAGTTGAGCGGTCGGTAGTACTATTGTAGCTTAGTAATGAACATACCCAGGTGGGCCTTTCCTAGTTTCTTGGCCACATTTGGTAGCATTGAACGAGCTCATCTAAGAGTTTGAAGAAGAAGATGGTGGCTGTTGATGTATTTCTCGCGTGCTTTTGCTGATTTACAGGTGATTTGATTGTCCCCACCCGGCCGGCCGGCCCCTGCTTCTCATCTCTGAGCTCCGTCGTTTCCGTTCTCTGATCGTTCCCTCGTTCCTCACAGCGGCGACGGCGTGCCTGAGGTGGAGCTGCACATCAAGATGGAGCCCATGCCGCCGGAGCCCCCCACGCCGCTCCGCCGCGGCCGAGGACGCGGCAGGGGCAGGGGCCGCGGCCGGGGTCGGGGTCGCGGTCGGCCCTCCTCCCCCGCCCCTCCTCCCTCCGCGGCGGCCCCGGCAGCGACGCCGGCGGTGCGTCGCCCGGTCGGCCGTCCGCCGTCATCGAGCACTGCTGCTCAGCGGCAGCTGGGCCAGGTGATCCGCGCAGCCGCCGCCGGGCACTTCGACTCGTTCCGCGCCCTGGACCAGCTGCTGTCTGCCGACCCTGAGGAGCGACCGGCGCGGACCTCTGCCGACCAGCTGCTCCGAATGTGTCTGATGCTCCGGCTCAAACAGGGAGCCTATCACCGGGAGAAAGAGCAGTACGTCGTCACCGAGAACCAGGAGGAAGGGCCGCAGGACGGTGAGGAGATGGTGGTGGAAGCGGCGGACGCGGCTGCCTAGGAGCTGGGGAGAGCGGGGAGTGGGATGAAGTCATGGAGGGATGGGAGAGTGGGTGTTTAATGTACAAAGATGGCGGTAAAACGTGAAGCACATGCTTCAGCTTCCAGGGAATACACTGCAATGGGCGTGCTGTTCATGGAATGTTGGCCTTAAGTCGTAGCTCCTGGTCGGGGTCGGGTCGGGGTCGGCATAATCATCTGTGCTTCACGTTGGTAAAAACAACACTACGTTAGTGTTGAGGGAAGCTGGTCACCAAGACATGCTATTTGTTAAGGGTTAGCTAGCTCCATTTTCAGTCAAGTGAATCCATTAGTAGGGATACATGCCTATTCATCTCATTTCCACGTCATTATCACGTCATCGCCAATACACTCGAGTTGACTGACCAGACTCTTTCCATACTCTCGGGAAAGACCGAGTGGTATTCCGTGAGAGGGAGGCACCGCAGCGGCAGTTCGTTGGAAGATGGCGCACAACTCGATATTTGTCGCTAACAACTAACCAAACATGTCCTCTTGAGAGCTAATATGGTTAGATGGTCTGAGTAAGGCCGGAGACTGAGCTTCCCTCGTGGTACGGTGATTTTTGAGAAATCTGAGGGGGTATTCCGCAATAGTCGCGCCTCAAGCCTCAGAAGCTTGTGAGTCACAGTTGAGTCAGTTATGTTGACTCGAGTATATCCCTCGAACTCTGAGATCGAGTGGGGATGATATTCCAGGTAGTAATTGAAATGCATGGAGCCAGTGTGACGAGAAGCAGCCTGTTGCTTCACATATCGCACTTCACATTCCGCCTTGCCTTCTGCACTAATGGACACTATATAACTGACGATACAAAAATAGCATCAGTAATTGTCTACCGCCCAGTCCGCTATGAGCGACTTGTGAGGTCATTCCCGGTAGAAAAATCACCCTACACGCTCAGTTATGTTTGATAACACCGCGTCGGCTGTCGACTGTCATGCAACAAACCGTTGGACATTGTCAATCGGTGCAAATTCAAAAACTTCTCAGAAGTCTTCCCACGAATTCGCGTAAACCTATCAGGACGCTCGTGCCATGAAACCCACGCTTAGCCGCACCTCAAAGAGCCTACCGCAAGGTGTAGCCGGTAAAGAAGCACGGACAGAAGCTAATTACGGTGCAGAAGCGGTGAAGTGCGGAGGGGGGGGGGGGGCAGAGGCGGACAGGGTCTGTAGGCAGCGCCGAGGGACGGCGGCACGCTCCTGGTCACGTGCCTCTTATGCCTAATGCCTCTGGAGGGGGGGGGGGGGGGGGCAGAGGCGGACCGGGTCTGTATGTAAGCAGCACCGAGGGGGAGGGCGGCACGCTCCTGGTCACGTGCCTCTGATGTCAGACTTCATAGTGAGGAGGCGGCAGTAGACATTGCGGTGGGGTGTATCCCGAGTTGCGGCTGGAAGAGAGGGGTGAGTTCAGTGGGTACGAGTGCACCGGGTGGATAATACGGATGTGGGTGAGATTCGTTTGAATGACGCTGAGAATAGTGCCGATTTGTTGAGTTCATGAGACGCGCTAGTTATTGGTGCTATGATCGTGTACGAGGCCAGACCCTATGCTCGCTTATTTTGGCGACTGTTGGGTGCTCTGTTGAGAGGTTAATTTAAATCGCTTGTGTAGGTACTTTGCAACGTCGGCTTGGTCTGGTCACACATGAAACAATCTTATACGCTTTTCTTTTGAACCTTCTATTGATCAGTGGTCAGTGGAATGATGAGTACCCACGAAGATGAATCCCATGTGCCATTATTCATGCATGAATGAAATCTCGCTTCATTCATAGCCCTCTAGCTCGTGAGTCGCCCGATGTTTCATCTCTGATTCACATTGGTGCGTCGTGCGTTACCTCATGCTCATTTCCTACTACCAAACTACCACCCAGACTTAGCGTTTGCCTAACTCTACCCCTCCTTGCAGTCCTCCATAACAACTAACAACCATCAACACCACACCCCCACCCCCGCCGCCTGACGTGGCACCCTGACGCGATCCGGCACCTGGGGAAGGAGTGTCCGACACCGCACCTACACACGGCGGCGGCTGCCCGCGGCGACGCCACGATTCATTGTCTAATCCCCGTCTGATCGTAGCAGCCGCCTCAGTGAATGACCGTCTGATAGTCGGCGGCAGCGACCGAGCGCGGGCTGAGTAAGCTCGGTTAGAGGCGGCAGGTGACGCAGAGGTGCCCTCGACCTCGGTCGCTGCGGGGATCGTCTATTTACATCTGGATGGGTTCGAGACTCTCCTCGCTGGCTTTCTCCCGACGCACAGGAAATGCCACGCGTGCGTCCGCAGTTCTCTGGCGCCAAGCTGACGCGGACTCTGCACCACCGCCCTACCGCTCCACCGTCCGCCGCCCGCACCACCTCCCCGCCGCCCGCCGCCCGTCGCACCGCTCCGCCGCCCGCCGCTCGGCCGGCCGTTAGTGATCCAAATGGATGGGCGTAAGAGGCCGAACGGTGGTCCCGCCCTGTTCTGAGTCGCCAGGTCCGCGCCGGTCGGCGGCGGTGACCTCATGTTCTCAAAGTTGGTCTCTCCCACCCTGCAGATCGAGGCTCCGGGTCTGTCGAGGCGGCAGGTTGGACTTTCTGATGCTGAGAGCCTCTGCATTGGCCGACATTTCGGGGCCCCCTTCCAATATCTGACCGTCTCTGAAACTGTTGCCTGGGCATTGACTTCCACACTGAGCACACTTTGGTTTCCGAATTTCGCTACTTTTCTTCTGATTGAATGAGAGCTGCGAAGACTGTTTGCTTGCATATATCTTACTATGCATTTACAGAATTACTTGTTTGCGAAGCATCGGCTGGTGCAGCGTCACTCAGTAACCCTGTCCACGCAGCGTGTTTACTATTCACGGTGTTGTCGGCCGCCCACCGGCCGTCGCTGACGCACTGTGCCGTTTGTTTACTGCACGCGCCGCGCCGTTCATTCATTGGCCCCCTGGCCGTGTCGCCGTCCGAGGGAGAACGGCCGTCTGTTGTTGGCCTAACCGGTCGCCGCCCACCGGCGCCGTTACCGGCACCCATTCACGGCAGCGACAGTTTATTCTATCCCCGGCGTGTGTTTAGTGTCAACAGGCCGCCCTAAACAGCCATTCCCAGTCGCCGGCTGGAGGGCGGGCCGGCGGACGGTTCTTCTCGAGACCATAAACGACGGGAGTGGAGCTATTCAGGCCAGTGGCCGTCACCGTGCCTAATTTCTCGGAGATGTCCAAATAAAAACATCCGAAACCGGAGCTGCCGACTGACGGCGGCTGACGGGACTGCTAACAACATCTCACCCCACCGGCCTCACCGCCGAGGCAGCGCTAGCCACTGACTCCGCCGGCGGTAAAAAAGTGAATGAAGTCGCCGAGGTGCGGCGTACACGGCGACGGCAGTCCGCCTGCACGGAAAACCAACACCGCGTGACTCGGCCGCAGCTTCCAAACGAGGTGCGGGCGTCATTTGTAGCGGACCGATGGTTTTTGCATGACCACCTGATACGCACAGGCACGCGGCTGGGAATCTGGACAGAGCTGTGAGCAGCAGTTTAATGTCGCATTCAGATCGTGTTGTTGGCTGATAACTCGACCACTGCGGGCGGATAGAATATCACGCTTTACATCTCACTACGCACGCATCTTTATCACCTACAGCACGCGTATGGTGAGCAGTGCTTGGTGTTGTGTTTCTTGACCAACACATTGTTGAATGGCGCCGGTTGTTAGTTGGGCTTGATCTTGAAATAATAAGGGCTTGAAAAGGCGAGCGCTAGCGTACGTTTAGATTTGTAGCAGATACTATTGTTTAACAACCTCACAAACATTTCAATCATTCATTCATTCGTTCATTCATTCATTCATTCATTCATTCATTCATTCATTCATTCATTCATTTCTTACACTGACCTTCGGGGTTATGGCCGTGAGATCAGTTGCAGTGTTGCAATGCCTATACGGTCTTATACGGTGCCTATCTTGACTAACAGTTCACAGCCACCTGACAGTAACAGCTTCTTGTCACTCGGCCGGAGCGGTGTCCCCTCCCCATCTGACCCGACCGGCGCCAGCGCGCGGCGTCCCGTTGCTAAAGTGCAGCATTAGAGATGCTTCAGGCTCCTCGAAGGCCGCCTTTCACCCGGGCCAGGTCGGGTGCTCCACCCGCCGCCCCCGCCGCCGCCGCCGCCGCCGCCCACCGGAAGCGCAGCTGCGTGAGAGTGCGTGCGCCACCGCCCAGCGATCGCCACTCTGACCCGACACGCCTGACCTCGCGGCGGCGGCCAGCGCGGCGCCGAATTCGCCGCGTGCCACTCAGCGCACTGAGGACGCGCCAGTCGGCCGCGTTTTTAGAGCGAGCCGAGAGGTGGAGGAGCAGCGATGACGCGGCCTATGACTGGGTTTTGGTGCTCTTTTTCCGGAGAAACTGGCGGGGTGCTAATGAGAAACGGCGCATCGAACTGGAGAGGATGGCCTCCCGTTGCAGCGCGAGACGATGAGAGGTCGTTCCGACACACGCCCAGACAGCCCATAGACGGTGATTACGAGCGCTTTTTCTGTCAGTATATGCAATGATTATGTGAGGACTCCACCCTGGAGAGGAGAAGTCTCAAGGCGGTGTTTCTTTTTCAGTCTCCTCATGCTGAGTTATGAGTCGATGGTAATTCCATTAACAGAACTGGCGGCTTGAGTGCGCTAGCCGCTGACACCATCCTTTCTGCCCGTCTGTGGCGAACCACTCTTTGTCATAATGTGTACATATCCCGGGGGTCGGATGATTTATCGAGTGTACTCTCCAGACTGTGTGATGAAACCGTTTGATAAACGATGGGTTAAATTACGCACAGGCTGATACTGCCAACATAGCGGGCGGGGTTTTCCATAGTGTCGGTGTGCACTTAGGCACTATTAAGGGGCCATGTTGGTGGACCTTGGACGAAACATGTTTATGCTGGGCCTTCTCGCACCTTGTCGGCAAACTATGGCTCGCATACCAGTCTTGAGTTATAACGGTGTTACCTACTCGTTCTTCACGGGCGCACAACCCGCATGCATTTTATATTCAGCATGCAAGTTGGCGTCTATACACTTCCCCGAATACCTATACACACATTAACCCACTTGCACAGGGTTATGACTCATAAGACTGGGTCCGCTGGAAACGCGGTACATTTGACTTAATCTGGTGGCGACTTGGCACATTTGACTGAATTTCCTGGCCCGGTGACGTTTTTAACTGAATGTGGTGGACTCACTTATTTGACTTCGTCTCGTCCTTGGTGAGCCCGCGTCTCTTTTGACGGCCCGCGCGTGACCGGATGTCCCCACATTCCTGATAGACCCGAGAGGCTGACGACTATGACGGCAGCGGCGGCCGTGTGTCGTGTG